ACATAAGTAATAATATTATATATATAATATTATGATGAAAATTTTAGTAAGTACAAAACTCCAGACTATAATATTATTAAGAGATATTAATAAATCTGTATTTATCGCAACTACAGTCCCCTGATTACTGTTATATTTATCAAGACCAAGAGCACACAGTTGTCAGATATTTTTGTTTTGTTTGTTTTCTACCACAATCACAAAACTCCATCTAGTCCCAAATTAAGCAGAGCTGTTTGGAAATATACATACTTTACAGTAATACATAAGTAATAATATTTTAATGAAAATGCATGAGACGGTGATTATAAAAACATTATACAACTATATATTATTACTCTATGACATCATGTGTTGTTTAGGTAGCAAATTTGTATTCGATTATTGAGATATCCACTTCTTGTTTTCCCGGTCAAGTAAACTTGTCAATGTGTCTATTTACGTATCCTACAAGACTTCTTCTTATTACTTACATAACTCTTTTCTTCTTGTGATTACCGAGGTAACGTTTATTTTAAACATTATAGGGGGGAAGTGAGCAGCCGGGTCCCCTGATGGTGTGTGACTACCGCTGCTGATTTACTCGCTTAAATTATTTCTGACCGAGGGCAAGCATATACAAATTATGCTTAGCCAAACATTCATATTGTGTGCAATAATAACTCAAAGATACTTCTAAGTACTCTACTTCTAAGAACAAGATTATAATAACCACAGAATGTCGTGATTATCTGCTATCGGTCTAGAAAAACTATTCCATATGTAGGTGTGATGGGTATTTCTTAATATATATTATGTTCAATGAATGATTACCTCTGGGTAAGTTAGATAAATACACTAGACTCTTTTTATATGGTATAGGAGGGCAAGCTAGCAGACGGGTCAAGTAACGTCACAAGATAGCCACAAGTGCGTCACTGCCCTTTGCATCCTCCCCTCAGAATCAGAATCAGGGTTGTATTGGACTTAGTAATAACGATCTGAAACGAATAATTTGAGCCCAATTCGAAAGGTTTCCTAGTAGCCGCTAAAGAGTTTCACTGTTCCTCCGTATCTTTTTTTCCAAACTAGGTTGGGGCTGGCTTTAAGTCTACTAAGCTACACCGGGGGGAGGAAGCTAGCTGGGGCACTATTTGAAGCCGATGGGCCTCGTTATCCCAGGCAAACTGGTGGCCGGCCTCTCTCCTGCCGACGTACAGGTGTTAGCGACATCGGCGGGAAGAAAAACTCGTCGCTCAAAGTCAACCTCGACGCCTCTGTAATCACCGGGACTTGTGTTGAGGCTTCCGGGGACTGCAATAAGGAGAGAAGAGATGAGTGAGGTGGTAAAAGTGCTCTTCTGGCTCTAGCTCTTGATAAAATCAACAGTAGAATTTCTAAAATAAAATATGTTCCTGTTTATTTGACATGGCATTAAATGTCATGTCTTACGTATATTTTTATTATGATAAAGTTATTGTAATCGAGTTTGGGTTTTATTTTTGTAATATAAATACATTTTCTGTTCTGAACTTTGTTTCAGTAAATTAATTTTGCTGTAAATTTATGAAAAATAGAAATTATAGAGAAATTCTGACTGCTGCAGATAAGTGTTGCTTTTATTATAATTAACATAAGGCAATTACACATTCTGATTTCGAATATAAATGATAAAATTTATAATGCTTCTGAGCTTCATTAGTTAAACAAACATCAGTGATCTTAATATGTGAATAAAATATATTGAACTCCTGTTTAAAACAATATCCCTAATGGAAGCATATTGAAGGAATAATAAATAATAAAAAAGCTTTATTTTAATTCCACACAAATTACACTACAGATAATAAAAGAATACACCTAAAGTCTAATTTATTCCACATAATATAAGATACTGTAAAAATTAATTATATACATATGTAGATGTTACGAACTTTGTGCGGACCCCTGCGGGTAAAAGTCTCCTCCAAGCCATTCCAGAACTTCCTGTTTTTGGCTGTGGATAGCGAATTTCGACCGGCTGATTCTAGTATTTTATCCGCCCAACGGGTGCCAGGCAGCCTCTACTTCTTTTGCCTTCTGGCCCTAACCATTTAACAGCTCTTACAGTCCATCTGTCATCCTAATACCTGGCTTCGTGCCTAGCCCATTTCCATTTCCTAGCAAGCGAGTAAGTTAGCGTATCTGTTACTTTAGTTTTCTTACGAATCTACATTTCTCATTCTATTTTTTAATTTTATATGTGGTCTGAATCTTATTTAAAAGAACCTATAATTTTAAACAATACCTATACTAATAAATATGATTGTTTGGATGGCAAATCTAGTTTAACTCGAGCGAAGTCGAAGAAGAAGAAGAAAAAATATGTAAAAACACTTAGATAAACCTTATTCCAGTATTTATTTTGTCTGTCGTGCTACAAAAGTCTATACAATAACAGTCCAATTTATAACGGCGAATTAAAGAAATACAAACATACATATATAGAAATACATTTAAAACAGCCGAGGTTCGACTGCAAGGCGATCCTTAGTAAGTACAAAACTCCAGATTATATTCAGGAGATTTTAATAAATTTATCGCGACTACAGTCCACCGATTACTGTCAGATTTATCGAGACTAAGAACACTCAGTTGTCAGATATGTTGGAAATGCACTTTACTAAGCACTGATTAATATTAAAGCCTTTGATGTATTAGACTTCATAATAAATTTTGAGTTCAGTCTATAAGGATAACAGCAAACCATACGGATTTAAACACAATTATTTTTAGGATTTTAAACTTTTAGCTCCATTGGCCATATATTGCGCGTTATACGCCTGCCCTCTCGGACTTGCTAATTTCTTGGGCTGTACCCTTAATCTTTGCTCATATGCTTGCAGCGTATCTCATCATTTCTGGATCGATATCGCACAGAAACTCCTACCGTAGTCCTTTTTATAGTTTCTTGAGCGACTCTGAGCTTAGTTTTCTATCAATTGGTTAGAAAATATGACCATTATTTACAAACCGAAAAAGTTTATCTACGATATTGTGATAGTAAAGTAGTGTGGACATCAATACTATAAGATAACGTCTTGCGATCACTGCGACGTCCTTATTATTTGGTTAATTGGTGATCAAGATTGGATTTGGATGTGCTAGGTGGTTTAAGTTATCCGCCATCTCATTCATGGTAATCTTGCAAAGAGACTTCCAATAAAGAAAAAATATAAAATATTAAACAGAAAAGTAGGAGTAGGTGTACCAAAAATTAAGTAAATAAAATATATTTTTTAAAGGTATAAATATATTGTAATAGGATTGTTCTTAGCTCAAAACGTTTCTAATGTAATTATATTATGCTAATTACTGTACAATTTTTGATTTATTTTTAGTGTTTTTAAGAAGTTACAGATCAAATTAAAAACCTTATAACAAGTATAACCAACAAAAATAGCATACCGTTTTGTTTGATGAGGTAATTGATAAGGCTTACTTATTACATTATCTAACTATACGAGTATATTATGTGCATTATACAAATAAGTTTTTCTGATCCATCGCAAAAAAGGAAGAAGCATTCGTTAACCTAATTATGGCTATTTTTAGTTTGTTGAGCATCTTTATCATCAATGCCAGTTTTTTGGTTTTGTTATTTTTTTTTAACACATTTTTGATTTAATATAATTAAAAAAAAATAACATTATTAAAAAAAAATAGACTAATCATATATCACGATTTGTTAAAAGCAGTCTTTAAAAACGTGACCTCGTTATAGATGTGAGAAATTAAAAGAAAAAGTTACATAACTTACTCAGTTATCAAAAAACTCCCGTACTCCGGATCGTCCCGGATACCCAGATATTTCCGGAGTTGGCCGGGATATCCCCGAGACACATACGTCAGACTATGTTGTCGTCTATTAGCTTTAGAGTTTACACCAAAAAAGTGTGTTTCTGTTTATCCCGCGATAAACACCAAGGCGATTACCACACACCTTTCTGTTTTGCAATTTATTTTTTCTGTAATCAAGGCAATCAAGTATTATTGTGATTCTTTGTGACGAATTGGCGATGAAATTTCGATAAATTCCAAGCGTTAAAGTGTTCGCCTTTTGATCAAGTTGATATCTTTCCAATAAATTAAAAAAGTCAGCTATAATGGTTCGCTTCGTTTTTTAAGTATTTATGATGGTTAATCATGTAAGCCGATTAATTTCTGTCATTAGTGTAGTCTAAAAGTATATTCTGACCAAATCAAAATAAAACTGAGGCATAAGAAGTTTTTTCTTATTAGAATTAAAATAAACAGTTTTACCTTCTTTTGGCTAAAAATATATTAGAAAAGTATAAATAAATTCATAGGACCTGTTTATATCAACCGAGATCTGGGATCTGAAGTATTGTGTGTAGACCTCACTAACGTAACAATAATCATTTTATCCGTTTAAGTCTGTTACAAAAACCTTTATATCTATTGTAATTCTTATAAAATTCTTCATTGCTTAAATCTATCATTGCTCTTTTTAAGATTATCTAGGTATCTAATCTAAGAACCCAACTTGAACATTTGTAGAAACATTCACATCCCATGCCAAATAGAAGACCAGTTTTGATAGATTAGTTCATTGGTTGGACTGTGACTCATTAATGGTTTACAGTCGATAACCAACGACATGTCCTCACTGTTGAGGTAAAATTGTAAAGCGTGATTTTACGCTATAAATATGTATGGCACTTGTTATAAATGTTTGAAATAAAAATACAGTGGACCTTATGTGCCGCGACAGAGCACGTTGATAAACCGGTTGTACGGTTCAGTCATAAAACCTTCCTGCAAACAATATGGTCAATGTTAGTCGCGATTTGCGCGTACTACTGTGAACACGTACCATTTGAACATGAAGTAAATAGTGCTAGTGAAACTCAAATTATATTAGCCAAATGTTCAGAATATAAAGTCCGGGTCTTCTTGCCTTGAAATTTAGTATTGCTTTTTTTACATTTTGTGGTTTTCCTTATAGAATTGGTGCCAAAATGACTTCGAGAATCATAGTGTTTTTTGTAGGTAAGTTTGTTTGAATTGTCTCTAGGTTGTGAAGATTTATTCCAAATTAGCGTACATTGTGTACATGATCTGAATTTTAATGTGTGTATACGTAACTTGTGGATTTTGTTTTTGAAAGCGTTGTTTACCCTCGATAAATTGAAGGTCGCTTTTGTTAATTACTGTAATTATATTTTCTAACTCTAAAACAAATCCAATTTTGAACTTGACCTTGACATATGATGATGTTTATGAGATTGAATCAAGAATTCCAATAGTTCGAAAATCAATAATAACGATTACATGTTCAATGTTTCTTAGTATTATCTTTTAAGTAGATAACAAATATAAATATACAATGATGTATCGTTGAATCACTAAGGAGTTTGGTACAATCGGTCGTGTTTCGTCTGTATTTGATATTAATTGCAGCAATTGAAACATGGGGAATCCACGGCATTAATCTCATTTATTCTTCATTTTTATACTAGACTAAGTGTTTGAAGAGTTCTCAATGACGGGTATTTTGTAATAAATGTAATTTACAAACAGCACTGCCCATGTTTTGAAATAAATGTCATTTAAAAATACCAGTCCGTGTTTGCTTGTAACAATAAGACAAAAAAAAATGGTTTTAATATGTATGTTGTTAATTTGTCATAGAATAATAATTGAAACTTATTACGTACCTATAAATAAAAAATATGAAGAGACAAAAGTATTTATATATGTATATACAGTAACGACGTGCTCATACTTCATTATGACCACATTCTAATTTGTATTAAAATTTACGACACAGATAGAAACATATACGTACAGGCTTTTGCCCGTGGCTCCGCCGCGTGTATATCGGTTATGGCGGTAAAAAGGCATCCTATATCCATCCTCAAGGACCAAACTATTTCCATACCAAATTTCATCTAAATCGGTTCAGCGGTATTAATTCCCCATACAAAATTCCACCCCTTTTTTACCCCCATAAAAGGTTTATTTCTGCGATAAAAACTATCCTGTGTCCTTTCCCTCGACTTAAACTATCTCCGCACAATTGTTTTTTAAATTTTCAGCGGTTTAACCGTGAAGTGAGGTAACAGACAGACACACTTTCGCAGTTATAATACTAGTATAAATACCTACGGGTTAGTAGGTTATAGCGTATTAAACACCCGCATCTTGTCAACTAGATTGTTTTTTAGTCATGTCATGGGGGGCTAGGTTATTGCCATCCGCCGGGCAAGTAGGGCATCACAGGTGGGAAAATAGAGAAAAGTGTATTGAAAGGGTTAGGTAAACAATTAGAGAAGATAATACAGGCAAATTAAAATCGCTTGTACAAATGGATGGGTGATGTGAATGGCCTGTCTGTTCGTTTGCCCTCCAAAGCATTAAAATGCTTAGACCCGGAAGCAAATGCCTTTTTAACTATCTAAGTCTCAAAAAGTATTTTAACAAAGTATCACTCTGTTCAAAGTAGTCACAAATACGAGTAATCATCACCACACCAACAGCCTTTGATAGTCCACTGCTGTACACAGGCTACTCCTTTGAAAGCAGGTTTTGGCCTATTATAGCACGTGGGCCAGACGGGGTGGTATAGGGTTTGTTTTAAGTTTGCCTTCTATTTGCAGTGCTGTTGTCCTGCGTATTTTGCTCCGTTACCCACTACACCCACTCCGTACACCCACTTGATGAATAGGGGTGGTAACACTCTATATGGTTAATTCCTTACCACACGGTACGAGTAATACTATAAATATAATTACATTTGTGTGTAAGCTCGACGTCCCATTACTTAATTAACCGATTTAGGTCAAAGCGCAAAACCTTTTCCAAAAAGAGCTAAATAAATTTATTCATAATACGTTTATAGTTAACTGTCGTCTGTAACGTTATACTCGTATATGTAAACGTAATTCGTTAATGCTAAAAAGTTCCCCGAAATTAGTAGCCCATAGTGTCCTTCTCTAAATACTAACCGATGCGAATTCAGAACCTTTTAAACTTCCTTGACTTTAATATAATGTACGAACACGTTTTTTTTCTGGTTTGACTACTTCTAACACTATATTGGATTTATATATTTCTTTGGCTTCGTCAATGCCATTTTTGTTTGGTTGGTTAAATATTTGTAATGAAGATGTGATCACGGTTTAGAAGTTAATTTATGAGACCGTTTAAAATTATTTGTTTTAAACTAAGTTAATATTACTCCTTTCTAAGGAGAGGCCTATGTCCAGCAGTAGACTAGTAAAGGCTGTGGATGAATATACTCGTACACGTCGTGTAAGTGATTTATATAATTGATCTCGACGCGACCGGTTTAGTCAATATTGCAAAAGAAACTCTTTCCGTGTCCAGAATAAGTGGGGCACCCCTCAAAACGCAGAGTACGCACAGAGTTCAACCATAAAGTATTCAAATTTTCAATCATGTTTATTATTAACAATTTATTCATTATGAAGTATATTTTAATATTAATTTCACTTACTGAAATTTCTGAGTGCATTAGTTTTTAAATTTGCTTTTTTTTTCATTATTGTACTGACAAAATATTCCTTAACTTATTGAGAGTAGATCCTTTCTTTGTGGATGCCTTCAATGGTCTTTATGTTATGGATTTCCATAGGTGAGGTTAGTACATATTTAGACGAGCTGTAATTTGTTGTAAGTGGGCAACCTCTCCTAATTGAATAAGCATTCCAATGTGCCATTTGGCGCTGTATGGGCCGTTAATATCTGTAATGCAGTAAACATGGAAATATTTTCGGTAGGAAATAGAAGAAATATAGTAGGTCTTCCTTTAGGTTTAATTCCGTAATTAGAAGATGCACTGAATGAACTTGTTCATGGAATTCATATATGGTCATACAAATGTTTAATGTAGTGAGTAATCATGGTTTCATTATATATTATTAGAAGATCAATTAAGCTGGATAATAAAAACTTGTTTAAGGTATGTTATCTTACGCATTTTTAAATGCTATCTTAGATGTATGTATTACGTATTACTACGTAAGACATACATACATCTAAGATCTTTGAAATAATAAAAAATTATAATACATGAATCTATTTTTTTTAGAAAAAGTAAAATTAATAATATTTTTATCTCAATTGTTTTGGTTTTTTTTTTATAGGATGAAGGTATTTATTGCAATAAGAAATACTTCGACAAGTCGTTATAACCAAATTTATGCATGAATATATATATGGTATTGCTGACAAAAAAAAATATCAGCAATGCAAAAAACTAGACATCCAATAGCAATAAGTAGTAATTTTGCTAGAAACAGAAAAAAACTACTATTCACTATTTAATGCTAATAAGTCGTTCGCTTTGCTAATAAGATCGTCATATCCAGATTTGAAAAATAGACTTTACATAAGACGTAGAGGTTAGTGTGGTCACCTCGTACAGCGTCAACTCCACGAGTATCACGGGTTTGATTCTCACATTCGACTATTATGTGTGTGGAACATTTTTGTAAAATAGTACTGAATACATCCTTCATACGAGTATATGATACATGTTATATTTAGTTCAGAACTTTAGTCACCGCTTGTGTGTTTCAGGCGATCGCTTGACATGGAATTTTTAAACTGATTATTAATTAGGTACACATTTAAAATATAAATAATAGTTCAATAGCAAAGATAAAACTACTACAAAGTGTACACGTACGAAAGCAAATCACAAAAAAATCAAACAAAAACCATTTTATTCTCATTAACATTTTTTAATATATTTTCTGTCTGCATAGTTAAATTAAACTAAATATTCTGATAAGACGATCATACATTTATTAGGCTAGCAGGTATATATTTAGTATCCTATCTATTTTATTGCACAGGAAACGTTCTAAAAATAAATAAAATCTATGAACAAATGCATGACTAGCTTGAGATCTGCTGCATACTATGCCCTTCCTTCTCTTATATGATGGTATGGGGTTATAGGGAAGTTCAGTTTTAAAATTTTGCTGTTTTAAAATTCTGTACAATATTAATAACTGTCGACCTGTTACTGCATAACATGCCATGTAAAGTTGGTTTGTGTGAAATATTAACGCGGGGATGTCGCCGCCTTAAGAATGGCTCTTTGAGCGCGTTCTAAATAAGCAGTGAAAGATAGCTTCAGTTGTCATGTAGGCTAGTAGTACTGCGGGGTTATCAACATGTTGATTGGGTTCACATGTGTGGCACTACATTTAACGTTATAAACATACAGATACATAAGTTACACGTACAGCTGTACACTCTTTTTTTTGCATCAGGGACTAAAAATAATGGTAGGTTCTTTTTAGTCCCCGACACAAAAAAAACATACAAACAGTGGAGAAATGAGATAACTGTGGTCACTATTGGCTGTATATATAATATATATAAATATAAATACAATGTATGCTAACCTAGTTAATGTAACCTAAATATTTAACACTAAGTTGTTATAGCTAAAATGGTTATATATTATTAAAAAGTGAACTGCAAGTCGTTAAGTAAAATAACATTTTGCAGAAATAATGACCAAACTGACCAAAATATCCGTGTCCTTTTTATCACAAAGTATAAATACAGGTACGCGAACATTTTGAGGTTCCGTCCTGCTTACATGTACGTTTTCGTCCCACTTTTCCCAATTCACGAGTCCCACTGAAGACATTCTCTGCTGCATTGCTGCAATTACTTAGCGATTGTGATCTCCCTAAATAAATCTTATTACGCAGGGTTCACGGACACACTTACTTACGAGTACAGTCGCAGCACGGTACAATTATAATACAGTAGTGTAACTCGGCCGCATGATAGAAATAAATGCCTACAGCCGCGCGGTACGTAAACATGCGTTAGGGCTGCCCGTCCTCAGCATTTTAATTATATTTGCCTACTTTCTGTTTCTATTTAGATTTGTGATTGTAAATATCCTTTTTATATAAATAAAACAAATACTTTGTATATTGAATCGGAAGTGTTCAATAAAAATGCGTGTTGTTTTTTGATTGGTAGATTTAATTAAAAAAACATGTTTTTGTTTGAAAAACAAATCGGGCTTATAAATTTGCGACCGAAAAAAATCCTTCTATAAAATAAAATAAATGTGCTTTCTCCTTACGCGTTACAAAACTCCAATCCTTAGAAACTCCAACACCTACCTACTCAACTAGAATGCAAGAAACAGCTGACGAGTAAGTAACTTTTTATCTCAGCTTATTAACGTCTCTATAAATTAGGTACCTACCTACAACTCGCAACAACTCAAAACAAAAATTCTTTGTTCACCAATTAATTAATTATTAAAAAGCTGAACAGCTGACTACGAATGTTTTAAAATCACAACCCTCAAACATCTAAATATTATATATGAGTCTAGCTGTTGTTGTTAATACCGAGAAAATAAAACCAGTTTTTAGTGGTATATGTTGTTATAGTAGCAGCAGAAACACTTTGTTAAAATTTCGAAAACTGTCTAATGACACACAGACGGTAAAAATTTTTTTTTAGTATTATTCATACACACAGATAATAAACAAATATTATTAATAATAAAATACCACGTCTTTACTTTGAATTATGCAAAGTAACAAAACACACATGCACCGAAGTTTTAACACAAGCGTAAGTAGGTAGGTACCTACCGTATCATGATTCATTCAGAACCGCATATAACTCCCTATTTCACTCGTCTCAATAACTTTCCGTTACTCTATTTGCTTTATTTATTCATCCAAACACCTTTTTTTCGTGAGATAAAAGGAAATACTTATCCATTAAAAAGACACACATTATGTACCTACCTACTAGTAAGTAAAATTATTTTATAGTCTTACCTTTCAGAGTTTCCAGGTAATTTAAAAAAACTTATGTCTGGATGCGTTATTGACGAATTCATACAACCAAAAACAGCACAATATTTAACTGATTTTTAGAGAAAAATCGCGCGGTTATTGTTAAAAAAACAACACAAAGTCCGTTCGACACTGCGGTACAGCCGTGACTGTCTGCGCCCCGAGCGCACCCCGAGATCGAGGCGCGTAGGTATAGCTCGCATTTCGTCCGTTTGTATGAAGTTGGAGTACTGTATTATAATAGTACCGTGGTCGCAGCGTCTGATAACGCGCGCCATTTCCACTTCGATTGTATATTATTTTAATTATAACGGATCACATTTATGGATAAGATAGTAAAAAAAATACATTTATCTTCTTGTACGCGTGTATATATTCTACGTACCAATTTCTTATGTTATTCACAGAATACATATTAGTGAACTATATAGATTCTATTACTTTTGTTATAAAACTTTAACATAAATATTGATTAGGTATTAAACATTTCAAATTACTGTTGTAAGTACAATTTGTATTCAACGGACTTGTCAATAACAAGAATTAAGTTATTACGAAATTAATTAACAGGCGAAACAAATCGAATTTAAATCTGTAAAGAAATTATTGAACTCTAGCGTTAGTGCGACAAGAGGTAACGGGAAAGACTGGACGTAAGCGCACCTCTCGCCGAATGACTGCTTAATTTTGAACCAGACTGTTGTGTGTGAGATGTGTCAGGTTATTTTTATTATAATTTTATATGGGACTTATTGTATTGTAGACTAATTGTGTATAGTATAATCAATTATTTTCAAGTTTTGTCAAAGTCCCCAATGTTTATAATGATGTCACAAAACTTAAGATACAAGGTTGGAAAGAACAAAAGAAGTCGTATGCTCTGATTCATAAAGCGGTAGACTTATTGACGTAAATCTTTTGTGTATGGTACCTGCCGGAAAATTATAAGGTTTTCCCCGTCGGAAACTCTAATTTATGTTAGCGGTCACTGAGTTGTTACCTTATTATAAACGAATTCCTTGTAGTTAATTCTCTGAAATCAAATATTAATAGGGTTATTAGAGCAACTGAAACTATCAGTACCCTAGTAATTGCACGTATGTAAGTTGTGTTATGCAAGTACGTATGTACTTTATAAATAAAATAATACTGTAAGTAAAATTCACGGAATTTATTTTTATTACTGGGAACAGACAAAGCTATCATCGTCAGATCATCTTCAGATTGTTCGCAAGCACTAAGAGGAGTTTTTTTCGTCGTGATATTTGTGGCCCGTCATATCCCTTCTTACGGTTAAATTCGGTAACGACAATATTAAGTCATTAATACTAGAGCATGGGACAAATATACTAAACGATCATCAGACCTGCCGTCCTCTATGGTTCTGATATTGGCCTATTAGGAGAACGGATGAGATATGCCTAAACGTATGGGATGTTGGGAAAGGAAAGGAAGGAAAGGATGTCAGGAAAGAGTACCTATATAGGAGGGAGTCTGAAAGTAGCGTCACTGGATGAAAAGTTAAGAAGTAATAGGTTATCTTGGTATGAACGTGTCATTTATTTATTCATCAATAAACTCAAAACCTTTTTTGATTATACACACATAATTTACATTAAATTAAATTCTTAGGCTAAACCTAGAAAATAAAGAATCTCATAACATTACCATACTAATAATAAACATACAATAAATACAAATCATAAAACATTAAATCAAATTAAATTAAATTTTTGACTAAACTAAATCAAATCAATATTAAGCCAAATCAAATCAGATTAAATTAAATCTATTCGATTTAATCAAATCGATCAAATCAAATTAAAATACACTAAATCAATAAAAACTTATGTCATGCGGACTTATGTCATGGAGGATAAGGAAAATGTGGCAAGGAAAGTGTTAGGTATGAGAGTTGAAGGGTACAAGAGAATAAGACCAAAGAAAAGCTGGATACACTGTGAGATAGAGGATATGGCAAGGAACTTTTAGAAAGGGAGTAACAGTCAAATGGTGAATGATAGAGTAGAATGGAAGAATAATACATAGTGCGCCGACCCCAAATAGAATTGGGATAAGGGTAGGCAGATAATGAGGTTCATGGGCTAAGATTTTCTATGCTACGATATTCTATGCTACGCCATGAATTGATTCACAGATAAAGGAACTGCTCCTTTGTCTATGAATTTATTTTATCTGATACAGACTAATGTTTAGCTTACGCTTTTCATTGCTGTTGTATAACATTATTGGAGGTGCGAAGAACATCTTTAAAAAAAAAAAGATTCTGCTCCATCACAAAGTCGGCAAACATACAGCGATCATATTTTCTCGTTTTTGAAAAATAAACGCATTAAGTTAAGTTTTACCATTAAATTCTTATAGTCAAATAGTTCAAGGACAATGTACACAGCTAATTTTATGGAGTCCTGTTATTGCCAACACCCGGCCTGATGACTTACTTTGATGTACTTTGCATGCTCATACGAGTATATATTTCCATTTCAGCATCCCTCTCGTTATGTTCCTGCGAAAATCTGCGGATCGAAGATCAAGTCCTTCAGGATGTATTTGGTTATGCCCCTCAAGCTAGCGTACCTCTAGCTGCAGACAGCCAATTCCAGGCTGCAGCTGTCACGCCTGTACCTGAGAACGAAACCACCACGGAGACAGAATATTGGGAGATGGAAGATTATAATCCTCCTTCAATCGACTATGATGTATTCGATTGGACATTAACTAAGGTACTTTACACAACTCTATGACTCTTTGAGCTTTACTCGCCGCTTTCAGGCAAGGCTTCACTTTCTACTGCGTTTATTGCATCTTTTGGGGTGGCAAAAACTATAGTCCCGGTCCCCGGTCTTGTCCTATCTCCGCTATTAAGCGATTTATATATAGTCCGTCATTAATCTTACTGGATACCACTTACTTATCTACCTTGCCTCTTTTAAACATAATTTTTTTTAATCAACATAAGCATAAGCAACATAGGTCAAATGTTTTTTTTTTTTAAATATTATATACAATTGTTGTCTTGTCCACATAAGGCAGTAGACTAGAGCAATGCTTATATCTATCATCTACTTAGTATAAATATTTATTTAAATCAAGTTTTTTTAATCTCTTTTTCAGCGTGTAGCCTCCTTATCAGACGAGAACTTCCTTATATCTCCTTTGGGTCTGAAGTTGGCGCTTGCCATTCTCACGGAAGCGGCTACGGGCGTCACTAAGAATGAGTTATTGTCAGTAATGGGTTTTAGCTTAAACCAAACTTTAGTTAGACAGAAATTTACCAGCATCGTAGATTCTTTGAAGGTGAGTTGTTTTTTTATACCAGTATATATTGTATATAGAGCTATGCCTTACTTCTTACCTGAAGTTATGTTAATTGTTAGATTTATATTTTATGTATGTTTATGGATTAGAAAACTTTTGAACCCTGGCTCCCGGTGGGAATAGGTGATAGATTAAGAACACGGAGTGTACCTCCCCCGTTGATCCCGTGGATGTCGTAATAGTCTACTAAGTTAGCAAACTACGCACTGCCTAGAGAAGGAAAACTTGAAACAAACCCTATACCAACCCGTCTGGCCAGCGCGGTATATTAGGCCACAACTCCATTCTAAGTCTATGTCCAGCAATTGACTATTAAAGGCTGTTGATAATGAAGGATGCCGTGTCACTATTAACTATTTCCCCTAATGAAGTAACAATTTCTCAGACACCACTGAGAACTTATTAAACCTTATAATAATAATACGTAATAACTTCACACATGTCACACAAGGCTGTGTGATTCTAAACTAGGCAGAGTCTGTTCTATGGTAACTAGCCTAACAATTTGTTCAAACTGTACAACAATGTAATTATGTTATCTTTGTAGGTACTTATTTGAACCCTATTGAAAACTTATAATTAATATCAACGTGTGAGATTTCGTGATTGTCATGCTTAGACATTGCAAGGTTATAATTATTGCTTTTTAAAAGGGTGTGAACGAAAATATTGGTTCTATCATTGACGTCATAAGATTTTCCAAACAGGATTGTTTAATGATTTTGTAATAAGTACAAATTCTGTAAACTAGATTTATTCATTGAGTCAGCAGATTTTTCAGAACATTCGCTTATTAACGTTAACAAACACTTTTATAGGTTGCAACGTAACAAGTATGAAAGATAAAAGTTACCTGGTTAGGTTATCTAATACCAGTATATTAGGCGAATATTATAACTGAAGTAAGCCAGGATCAGATCAATCAAACAAACATTGTGCGTACTGACCGGTGGCGCTTCTGAAAATATATTATCACTAGCTTTTACGTTAATGTGGTAAAAAACCTGTCCTTTATCAAGAATTAAACTATCGCTATAGCAAATTTTACCTAAACCGGTTCAGCGGGTATTGATTCCCCATACATACTTTCACCCCCTTAAAGGATGATTTCTGGGATATCAACTCTTGGATATATGTATATCTGGGACTCAAACCATCTCTATACCAATTCGGTTCTCTAAATCGGTTTAGAAATTTATTTTTTGAAGAGGTGACAGACAAACAGATAGACAGACACACATTCGAATTAATATTAAGTATGGAAGTATGGGTAGCATATTTTCAGAATCAGCGTTGATGCGTCAGCAAAAAAGATTGATTAGTATTTTAAAATGTTTTAGAGAAGCCATGTGGCGTTGATTGACTATAATTTTATACATGCTCGCTGATTTGTGTCTTTTATACTCACCAGAGCAGAGGCCATACTATAACCTGTACCAAAGTCATATCTTCATAAGTTTTTGAAGATCTTTTAATAAATAAACTGATAGTTATTAATGGTCGTGGTCCTTACTTAAGAAAACCACGTAACATGTCTCAAGTCAAGGTAGGGTCCTTCCCAAGGCAGTTTCGTAATTTTAGTTATGTAAGGAAAAACTTAAGAACGCTAAATCGCCGAGACTTTGAGGTAGCTTGGCATAAATTGTACAACCAACTAATACGTAAGGTAAACCTTTACATCATAAATAACTTTTATTTTTCAGAAAGAGTCACCACAATATATCTTGAACTTGGGCAGTAGGGTTTATATAGGCAGCAATGTTAGACCGAAACAAATGTTCGCAGCCATTGCGGAGGAGTTCTATAAGACCGAGCTGAAGACTGTCGACTTTCATAATCCCCCTGAAGCGGCTAAGCAAATAAACTCATGGGTCTCCAATGTCACGAAGGGCAAGATTTCCAATTTAGTTAGTGAAGGTAAGTTATTTATAAAGTTTAAAGGTTTTACTAAACATGACGAATACTTACGAAAATATTTATTCCAAATTTTATTTATTGCAATGCGGTAGTTAATTGTCAAGTCAAATAAGTTCCTTTTTATGTTCGGTACGGAAGGAAGTTGTGTTAAAATTGAAGGCAATAATAAGTATGACGTCATACCTAGCTTTTGATAAATCTTTTTCTTTCATTACATTTTAACATTTGGTTAATTAAAAATATTATTTTTTTTATATATAAAACTGTTAAGTTGGTTTGTGTACGCTTTTAAAACTCAAAACGTTCTCCACCGCTTTGAAGGTTGTTCGTATCTATTTTTCGCATTGATATCGCATTGATGATTCCATATCAATGCAACCACAATGTGTCACAGCGAAGTGTGGCGGGGAACAGCTAGTTTAAAATAAAAAGAAACTTGAAAACAGTAACGAATATCCTTTTATACAGTTTTATGTCATACTTAAATTCATGAGGACTCTTAGACAATTTATTTTAACTACAGGACGCTATCCAGTTATAGAAAAATATTGCACTATTCTACATTTGTAGCAACCATAATAACATTAAGTTTAATGCTTCAAAGTAGGTAAAAAAACGATACGTATTTTATAAAACAGTAATGGTACAGTTACAGTACAGTTTAAAATATCATAATATTGTTAAGGGGTACATCGTACTTTAATTCGTATCAAAGCGTTAATATTATTAATCATTATTTTAAAGAAGTAAATAAATAATAATCTCTGATTCCTCTTTCCTTGGAAAATAAATTAGAAAATGTCATCTTCAAGAAAATTGTACTTTTTTATCTGTGTCATTTTTCTCTGCATTCGTATTTACATATTTCTTGATAATTACAAGTCTGTCGAAATGTAGTAAATAACAACTATTTACTACATTTCGACAGTTTGCTTATTTACAATAACAATAAATATATATTTTGTGTATTATGTTTTTACCTGTAATTATTTGGATCATTGGTTTATGTTCTGTGTATGTGTATGTGTGTGGTCAGAGTGAGTGATAAATAAAAAAATAGTAATTCAAACTCAATTGTTTTTATAATAGCATTGAAGCATTGAAGAATAATTGAATCATAATTTACTAATAAGGGCACAGCCATAAAATATGTTTCGCAACATTTTACATATTATTTTATAGATAAAAGAAGTCTGTAAATTTCAAATTTAAAAAATAATTTTACTTCATACATTCACATATTTGAGATGAATTTAATAAATAATGTTATATATATTGATTGAATAGAAACCAAACATTGTTGTTGGTAAACATTATTTATCGGAAGTAAGTAAAGAGCCCATTTTAAATTTAATGTTATATAGTAAAGGCATATCTATGCAACGAGTGATAAATTTGCATACATCTTTTGCCAAGTTATAACTCTACTCGTAATATTATAGGCACAGGTGTAAGCATAATAAATTTGAATTTAGAAAATCGCGTTTCTGTAAAGCCCATTAACTATAAATAAAGAATATTTTTTCTAAATTTAAACATGAAAAAATATATTAACGATCAATAAATCGATTTAAAAAAACTGTGACCTCTGACATTGTATACTAATAGTTGACTTTTCGTATGGTTTTAAGTTTAATTTATTCATTAAACATACTCTGTAGAACCCATAGGTCTTTGACCTTTAATTTTATATCGCCACATTAGTCACTAAGCCTACCACATAAAGTAACAGTAAAAAAAATGTACCTACAAAAGCACGAGTAGATGAATTAGTGCGTGTTTTGTAGCAACTTGGTTGAATCACAATACCTTTGTATTGCCACAATACACAGGATATATATTATATAGGCACACAAATTTATCACATTATAAATAACAGTAATTATGTTAACCACAGCTTAGTTACTGTGTCATATTGGAAATACCAATTAGTCCTAGACAGTTATTACACATTACCATTGTTCCACTTTTTCTGTGCGGAAATCCCTTCAGATACCACCCACCTGCGGGGTGATTATGTCGGACTCGAAACGACCAAAAACCACACACCGTCTCGAGTACCAGTTGCCGGGAACCAGGTGGACCCTAGAAAGGAAATCCCTGGTAACCCAACGTATCTCGGGCCATCTACGGCGTGTAGATGACCTCCTCCTTTGTGGGAACCAACATGTCTCCTCTGTGCTTCCAATAGGGCGCACACGCTCCGCAGTGCGTCTCGCCACCACCACGGCCTGCTTCTGCTAGGGTGATAGATGTCACCCCCAGGCCTGCGCTTATAGAGGTCGGAGTTCGTTCTGCGACCCCCGGCGCGATTGAGTCGTCTGCGGTACCTGGCCTTTTCCCGGGCCTAGCGTTCTAATCCTCTCCCGGTCGTGCTCCGCTATCTAGTTCGTAAGCATAACTTGCTTGCAGAAGGAGACGGCGGAGTTCCACCCACTCTTGCTACGTAGTATGGCGGCAATCAGGTTATCGAGCGAGAGAATTCCCACTCCGATGGCCGCCACGAAGCCTCGCCTCTGCTTCACCCACGCCAGGCATTCTGCCAGCGTATGGAGCGTTTTAAAGAAGTTTTCGTTTGAATATCCTGCACTACGTGGGTATTCATATATAAATCTCATAAATATCTCTGAGTTAAAAGAAAATAACTATCTTAATCTATATATCTGTGTGTGAAGTCTGCCAAGTCGAGGTAAAGTGTTTTACTTCTTGAATCTGTTGAACACGATTATTCGACTCTTTGCCCGAGATTCACTAATTGTCTTAAAGTTGAAACGTACCTAGTAGTAGTATTATCAGTACATCCGTTACACCTATCTATGAAATATAAATCTAATATGAATATAATAATAATAAATATATGAATAAGTCATGAATTAAATAACATACGGTTACACGAAGATATTGAGTACTCAATTGTTTTATATTTTCTATTTAGATGATGTCGCCAGCGTAGCAGTAATAGTTCTTAACGCCCTGTACTTCAAGGGCAGCTGGCGCCACCAGTTTGCACCCAATGCGACTAAGTACGATCAGTTCTACATCTCTCCAAATGTAATAAAGGAAATACCTTTCATGAACCTCAACGAGAAGTTCTACTACACCGAGTCCGCTAAATTAGGAGCAAAGATTTTAAGGATGCCTTATTTGGTAACAATTTTACTTTATATGCAAATGTTATTGAAGTGATAAAGTAATTTATGTTCTTTGGAAGCCAATATTGTAAATAATTTTACAGAAATTTAAACTTGTTTTAAATCTTTGCAGGGTAAAAAATTCTCGATGTATATAATAGTCCCGATTGACTTGTTGGGTATGTCTCGCGTGATGTCCAACATCAATGTGTTGCGAACTGAGATGAACAATCTTCGGGAGCATTACGTAGATGTTAAATTACCTAAGTTCAAGTTTGACTACACTTCGCAGCTAGGTGGAATTCTGAAGGAAGTAAGTTGTAGTGAATCTGTAATACACACTCATAATTAGACTTTATTTTCAACTTAATGTAACGTACATTTTATTAAGATTGTACCTACACTTTCCACGTGTCTGCCAATAGTTTATTATTAGTTACCAACTACCCAAGGAGCAGCGTTTAAGATACATACGTATTTACTAGTACTGTTATTTATTCCGTGACGTAACTTAGATATACATACATACATGAAATTCTTTGTATTTAAACTGCTACCAGTAAAATATCTCCTTTCGTTAACTTTTGCAAAAACCAAAAAGCTTTTATATTTGGACACTTTAAATACCCCTTAAGTTATATTCTTCAACCTAGGCAAAGCCGTGATGTAAAAATACTAAATGTTAAAACATATTCCGTGTTTGAAATACATATATATAAAAAACCGTGCTTGCGTGCAGTGTTACGATGTTTTTTGCCAATCGGGTAGTTTCAAATCGAGCAGAACCCTGCTCTTAAGTACGATTATATTAGGGAACTATGTTTTGTAATTATTACCATGGTTTTTTTTTTAAATTTAGTTGGGCGTCCGAGAAGCTTTCGAAGATACTGCATCTTTCCCTGGTATTGCTCGTGGCCAATACCTTTCAGAACGAATCAAGATTTCAAAAGTGCTGCAGCGATCTGGTATCGAGGTCAATGAACTTGGTAGTGTTGCATACGCTGCTACAGGTACCACACCATTTTATTTAAATACAGATTTAGTTGTCTTTTAATAAAATTTGTCAACATATTGTATAGATAAATATTTTATAAAGAGGTGATCGAAGAAATAAGCCATTAAAATTGTAGTAAACGTGACAGCCTTGATAAAATAAATTAATAGAAAATTAAATAATATTCGTGTCCACATTTGTTATGGCACAGTTATGGTATAGGCATTCGAGCAGACGGATCACCCTATGGTAAGTCACTACAAGCACCTACAGACACATGCAAGTCAAGAGTTACAAGTGTGTTGTCGGCCTTTGAATGCCTGCCGCAATAAAAAAAAGGGATCTGCAGTGCTCAAACTAAGTTAGTTGTAAGTTCGACGCAGTGGCAGCGCTGTACGCAAGGCTGTTTCCTTAGAAAACAGCAATGCTGGGCCTCACCCACTCAGTGATGTCAACGAAATAATTGCTTCACGCAGGTTATCTGTAAGGCCGCGGTATCACTCCGGTGCAAGGCTCTCTCACAATTAAAAAAGACCATGAGTTTGTTTGTTTTTTTTTACAAGGCTAAACCCCTTATAAACGGGCGGTTGGAGATCTTGTAAAAGTATAATTTTTATTAAATTTATTTTGCTACCTAATTGACAAAACAGAGATCGTTGCTATTGTGTGTGTGTTGATCTACGGCTTTAGAGTCTACATAAAAGACGATTTCAATTTTTATTTTTATGAAATAAAGATATTTTGAGTTGTTTCCTTTTTACAGAAATTGCTCTGGTGAATAAATTTGGCGAAGACACTGAAAGTCAAGTGGAGGTGGTGGCGAACAGGCCGTTTTTGTTTTTCATTCAAGACGAGCTCACGAGGCAGTTGCTAGTGACAGGAAGAGTCTCTGACCCGACACTCTTAGATGGAGCTTTCAAACTAGTCTAAAGTATTTGAAATTGTTAGGAAGTACGTAAGACAGGGTTTCATTCTCATAGGAATTCGAGATTTTGTAAACAAATGTTTGACAAAGTGTAAAATCGTTTTAATTTATCTGTTTTTTTAATATTCTTAATAATTTATATAGCCCATGAAGGTTTTCAATTTTTTTTGTATCTAGTGTCTTTTTTTGTATAGCAGTTTTTGACTTTGAACAAAGTAAGCGATCATAGCGTTAAGATGTATAAAAAAGTGTAAAAAGTAAGATCGTTGATCTGTGTTTCGACCTGTGTGTGCGAAACAAATCTTTTTACTTTGAAATACAATAAATCTTAAAAAGAAAATTGTTTTAATTATCTTCACTTTCACTAACAAAAGTAATAAGTATAAAGTAAGTAAGTAAGTAAGTAATAAGTTTAATAATATTAAACTTATAATAATATTTAGGATTCAAGTATAATCAGTGGGCATTGCAGTGTTTCTGTATCTTATTGGTAAAACAAACGTTTATGTTTTACCCAAAAAAACCCGTCAACTGCGTTTAAAATGTAATCTTAAAATAAGATTCAGGTTCAGATTTAGGCAGTTTTAAACGAGCTAGCGATCGATCATTTCACCTCTTTTCATACTTCGGTTCACACCCCGAACTACAGAGATAAGCTATGTCAGCGATACAAACGATAAAGACGAAATATGCTACGATACCTGCGATGCTATTCGTTCACCTAGTTAGCGTAGGTTAGCCCTGTAGTTTGCGGTGTGGACCGAACTACGAAAAGAAATGAAACGATGCTCTCCCGGCTTGTTAGTTGTCTGCTCGCCCGATTTGACCACCCGATCTCGCTTTGCCAATCTTCTTCGGACTAGTCGACATGGCGAATAGGATGTCTATCGACAAAACTTAACTAAATCAAAATAAACGGAACGTTCCCTTTGCTCTCCCGCCGCTCGCTCGCTCGCTAGCTGGCGGTGTGGCTTGCACTTTACGTGAACGTTCTCTTTTTTCAAAGATTTGACTAGTAGTTCAATTAATTGAGCACTATAAGAACAAAGTCTTCAGCTTTATTTCATAGTATAAATTGGAACCGCATCTTTGCTGGTACTGGCTGGACTACCGCAGGTCAACATCGAAGTGAAAAGATGTCCTGCTACACAGGATAAATTACACAGGAAAAAGACTAGTTGTTTTATAAAATCGCTTGTATATTAGATATTGCTTATATTGATTATCGCTTGTATATTAGAAAAGTATAGCTGTGCTAGGTAAGTTCTGTATTATGTAGTTATTCTTGTTATGCTTTTGTACTTCGAGCAGCAACGAGTAGACTATTAATTAACAACAAGTCATCATCATCTTATCCTTTTACCAAATGTAATACAGTAAATTTTCTTCCTTCATTCTCTTCTCTTACTCGCAGTCATATTTTTATTTTAAAAATTAACGCCAATTTCAGATGTCTTCATGAGTTGAAACATTGCAAACCAACAGGTTTCATGTTAAGCTGTCAATTATCTTACCCAGTGGCGGATTATCCAAGTTAAGTCAAAGCAGGAACGTGCCAAACATAATAAGAACTGTGTCAGTAAGTATGCATATACTTACGCAATATGAACAATTCTTTACAAAGATGTTTAAGGTTGACATCTAGGGTTTAGATTACGTAACTACTACTTCTATGCTTTGCTTTTCTGATATCTATTAAGATTGAGACTAGTGCTTGTACACAAAAATGCATTGGCTACAACTGTAGGTGTAGTTGAGATTACTCTATGAGTTATAATAATAGACCAGGATTGTACAGTCAATGACACTATATACGATGACTTGATGGTTATCTCCGCTGGAGGCTCCACGGCTTTAGCACCGGCTTTAGTGCTCGCCTAAGTATATCGGGCACGGCTGCTTCGGGAAGTACCTGCACTCGGTTGATTGGAGGGAATTGAGTCCCGCCTGTCACTAGTAGCTTATGTGCTATTCCAGAATATAATCTATCTCTGTGCCAAATTTCATACTGATCCGTTAAGTCGTTTTTGCGTTAAGGAGTAACAAACATCTATTCATCCATACAAACTTTCGCCTTTATAATATTAATAAGATATAAGTTCTACACGACGGGACTAGCGATTACGTGATATCAAAAGCTTTACTTTAAAACCCGTGAGTAATCATTACCTCTTAGTCTATTGCGTTGCTAATTAATATTTTTTGTTTAATTATCGTGTTTTAAAATGTGTAATGTTATATATCTGTCTTAGTAATCATAAGTTCTTATTCAGCGTGTAGCCTCTTCGTCCAGATACAATTTCTTTCAGTCACCCCTGGGATTGAACTCTCGGTCCCAACTGATGGCTGCTTTAGGCCCAGACTTTGATGTTAGTACAAGGAATAAATTAACCGGCATTGCTAGTTCTCTAAACACCCACGGGATGAATAGCGGTAGTGACACTCTGTATTTTTTATATTTTGTTTGGTCCTCTTTTGCGATATACGAGTATATAAAAGTAAAAATAATAACACTAGCCACTGTACAGATCTAACTTATTTTTATAGCCACATAAGTCGAAATTGGTAATCCGGTGTAATTTGACCGCTAAGCAGAGTAGCTGGGTTAGTATGAAAATCCAGAAAGAAATGGTTCCTTGGGTATCTTGTTCTTACTCTTGTTATTATTTCAAATTCTTCACTATGATATGATTCTAATGCTATTAAATATTTAACGTTTTTATTTACTGGCATGATCGTACATTCCGAAAATAACTTATTATAGTCATCTTTATGCTTTTTTTAATTCTTTTACATATAGATACAAATAAATAAAATTAGAGTGTCTGTTTGTAATGTCAAAATAATAGTTTTTTTTTCATGCTTACGGTTATTTGCACGATATCTATGCCTAAAACCAGTTTAGGTATATATTTTTTGTTGTCTGTTTGTTCCGGGTAATCTCCAACACTGCTGTACCGATTTTGATAATATTTTACTACCAAGTAGCTGTCTATATAAGGAGTAATTTAGGCAATTTTTTCTCTGAGAAAAACCCTTTAAAATTTTGCGTGGTCCGGAAATCGAACTCTCTAAGGCAGCGCTTTTCAAATACCACGCTAACGAAGTCGCAGGCACCAGCTGGTTTACAATAATTTTTAGAGATCTTAACTGTATCGTTTTATTTTCCATAACTAATAACTGAATCCGCTAGTGCATTGTATACCATCAACAAAGTACGGCTGTCTAATATTCTTTTGAGGATGTAAAACTTACTTAGAACTGACCTTAATATATTACATACCAATACTATGTGTGGTCTCCAGCTCAATCTATTATCTATCTATTATCAACCCCAAGTACTTAATGGCAGTGACTAACTCCAATTCTTTACACTGACAGCTCTGGTTTTTATGTAAACAGTCAATGTGTGCCCTATGATACATACACTAGTCCCTCCTCTGGCTTAGTTTTATTGATATTAAGTATAATCCCATTATCATGAGCCCATTTTGTTATTTTGTCAAAGTCATTTTGCAATTGCACTATCATGTGTTGTAAATTTTTACCAGAGATTATCATACAAGTGTCATCGGCATACATGTAGAAACCGTTATGTTCTACGACATATACTGTTAAAATATAACGCAAGAACGTAACGTAGGATTTTATAAAACACAAGTTGTACCCTGCCACGCTTCGCTGTGTCATATTTTGGTGGCATTGATGAAAAATAGTGAACCAACCTAACGCGAAATATCGATAAAAACAGTCTTTAAAGCTGGGTAAATATAGTGTCAAACGTTTGAGCTCAATCGTGGCAGTACTTATTGAGTTTTTGAAGAGTACACAAACCAACTTAACATTTTTATATACCTAAATAGATCTCCCGTTGTCAAAATAATAAAAAGGTGTTGTTGATCTGAAGTCAGAGCCGTGTCTTATAGAGTCTAATGATATATGTATTTATAGTTTTATACATATTAAACCGGTTAAATAAACGGTTGCTCACATGACGTCGACATGTGATAAGTGCGAGAGAAGATACGCAGTTGGACCTTGGAGTTGGCTCGTTTGATATTATTCTTGTACAAAAAGTTTATATTTTAATATTCTATACATATACTCGTAAGGGGAACGAGATATAGTATGATGATATATGTTTGGAAATAATACACGAGTTAACTTAGCTTAAAATGGTCTATAACTGTTGATTTTGGCCTTAATGCTTTTGTGCTATGCATAAACAATGATCTATTTTGTAGACACTGTGTTTGTTTTTGGTAAGTCTGTATTTTTATAATGTAATCATACACGTACAGTTTTTAGTTTTTGATTTTGACCGATATATGTATATTTGTTTTCGATGACGTAATGCAAAATCAGTTTTTTGGATTTTAGATATTATTCAGAATTTATAATATATATATATAAACCGCTCGTAAATATAGATTTTCTCAAGGCTGATGATTGATATATTGCTTTAATTTACTCTAGCAGTCATGGTAGATAGTTATCAGGGTGGGTTCTACTATGGCGATTTTTTTTTGATAATTCGTCAGTTAAATAGATAAGCATAGTGTAAATACATTAGTTAATGTAATATTATACTGCGCCTGCGTAGAAACTTGCAAACTTTCCTGTTCTACTTTACAATATTTCAGTTTTATAAGCAGTTGTTTACGACCTTCTACGAGGGTTCTTTTTATTGGTATTGGTTGCGGGCCCCGATATCCGCATTAAGATTCGATCTTCAAACCTTCAAGTAAAGAGCGTACTCCTTCCTAAAAGGCCCGCAACGCGTTTGTGACTCCAGAGTTGCAGGCGTTGATGGGCAGCATGTCTGCTCATCTGCCCCCTCTTCCACAAAATAAAAACTAATAGTCTGTGAGATATAGTTAGACAGACGGACGGACGGTCATGACGAAACTTTATATAATGTAATATTTTGGCTACGTAACCCCAAAAAGAATCTTAATACAAAATAAACGACAGTCTACAGTCAGATAAATAATAAAATAAAAAATAAATAACAATAAATAAACTATAACAGGCAGTCACGGGAAAGGTCCCTTGACTGTCTGTTGTACTTATGTTTCGGAGACAAATTTATTATTTTTACTTATTTATTTAATATTTATTACGAATTAATTATTATTAATATGCCGTATTTAAAATTAATAAAACAATATACACTTAGGTTCGAATTTATGTATACATCAGTTTTTACCTTTTCAGTATTAGTCTCATCGAGTTTGTCTTTGACAGAAAGTGCTAACTTTACCGCAGCGACTCAAGAACTTTCAGATCGTAATGTGGTTATATCTAATGAAATGACCAACGATGAATTTGTACCTTATTTAGGTGATCAAGATCGATTGTATTGGACCTTGATAAAGGTACGAATATATAATGTACTAGTTAGGTACAGACATTTGTTTTACATTTGTTTTCACATAGTTTGTGATAATCGTTCTCCTAGGACTTCGGATACTATCTTATATTTCTTGCTGTCAGGATTATTTTAGCGATTTACAAATACAAATTTCCTTGTACATGCTCAAATTTTCTATCAATGTTGAACTAAAAGTTCAACGCTCTGTAATACTTGACCATTATTCCAGCGTGTTGCTTCATCGTTTGAAGAAAACTTTCTCTTATCTCCTTTAGGGTTGAAGTTAACCCTATCACTTTTAAAAGAAACAGCTACCGGACTGACCCAGGATGAGCTCTCAGCAATTTTCCGAGAGGATTTAAATCGTATGGAGAGTAGAGAACATTTAAGAAGTATTGCAGAGCTGTTAAGGGTAAGTAAAACTGTTCCACCTACAGACTAGTTTCAAACTCTTCTTAAAGATGAAATACATTGAGGGACAATATAGCCTCGGTAGCAACTGGTAAGCCTGCAACTTCCTACTCTTCTTTTTTTTACAGAAAAAGCCTCCCGAAAACATCGCATATCTAGGTAATTGGATCTTCATTTCTTCAGAAAATGAAATACGGGCAAGATTCGAAGCAATTGCTAAAACTTTTTACAACGCTGATATAACAACTGTTAACACACAAAGTGCTACTGTTACAGCAAACGAGATTAACCAGGTAGTTTTAAATGCTACACTGGGAAATATCTTATATCCTGTCAATGAAGGTGAGTTATAAATCTCTATAAATAGTTGTTTATGTGGTTTAAAAAACGATGGTTTATATGGATACGAGGTAAATACTATAAACATTTTGTTTGCATTGATACTATAAAACATTTTGTTACAATGTGTAGCAAAAGCTACCAGCTCAGTTCATGCTGTGTGAGAACACAGCACTGGTATTGAGCGGGCCCCTTACATTTGCGCCAACAGTTAGATATTAAGAAACGAACAGAGACAGATCACAACACAATAAACAAAAAATCTTAATAAGTACATTAAAAAAAACTAATATGATGTGTGTGAATGACTACCAAACGCAAATACCTGTATAGCTAGAGATAGGAATAAAGCTGAAACACATTGGCGGGGCTGTAAAATTGGGGGTTTCCCTCGATTTCTCTGGGATCTAATCGTCAGATCCTGATATGGTCTTAACATAGGGAGTATACCCTGACGATTAAAAGATTTTTTTAAATCGGTTCACAATTGACGGAGATATCACGTAACAAACACACAAAAAATACAGACAAATTGAGAAGCTCCTCTTTTGTGTTTTGGAAGTCGTTGGTTAAAAATGACAAACTTGCCGATAGTTGTCTATCCTTATTAGCTGATGTTCATGTAGGAAACGTCACAGGCATCTAAATAACTGTTGTTATTTCATGTTTAATGTTAAATTTACTGAAAACAAGCTTATGCGGAATGTGTTCGGTTCTTACTGTTGAAAATGATTATGTCTGATTTGAATTCTTCTTATTTAAGAATATCAATGTTACTTCTTTTATCGAAGAAGCTGCCTTAGTGGTGTAGTACGGTACGCGACTGCAGTCCATGAGGCCTTGGGTTCGATTCCCGGACCGGGCAAAATTTTACAGAGCTTTTCTGAGAGTTAAAATAGCCTAAGTTAACGTGGTAGTAAAATATAATATCAATTATATGTATTTATGTGTATTTATATATGTATATTTATGTATGTGTGTAATTGTATATGTTAGTTAAAACTATATAACTACTATTACAACTGTAAATTCAGTGCACCTACCTCACCAGATTTCTACACCACCCTAAGGTAGAGAATGCCCTGGGCATTAAGTCCGCCTATGTACACAAGTGCATAAAGTTGTAAATAAATAACTAAAAGTTTAAAGTTGGTCCAGGGGTTTTGACGATTACCCGGAACAAACAGACAGACAGATAAAAGCTATTTAAACTGATTTTTAGGCATAGTTATCGTGCAAATAATCGTGTGAGTATAAAAAAAACCTATTATTTTGATATTACGAACAGACACTTCAATGTTCTTTATTTGTATAGATATGAACTTTGATATTCCAAATAAGCATGCATGCTCTAACCATGCACCTTTACACTTTGATACGAAGAGGGACACTGAGTTTTGGGAGGTCCCACAAAGAAGAAAACCTTTGTCAAATATAATTGTAGTGAAATCAATGAGTATTGAATAAATTAAAGGGTTCTTATCTACTATGCGCTTTTCTTTGTAATAGACAACAGATTAAATATCTTCAAAAGAACGAAGTCAACAGGCATTGTTTCCAGGAATTGTTTATGACAATGGACACAGCGGTCAGTGAAAGACTTTTTATAAAAAATACGTGTCATTTCAAGTTCAACTATTTTAAAATTAAGGTGACGTCGATGACATGAGAATGCTGGTCCTGAACACTCTCTACTTCGAAGGTGACTGGCGCTACCAGTTTGCAGCGAGCGCAACAAAAGCCAGTCATTTTTACGTTTCTCCGACGACTCTGAAAATAGTTCCTTTCATGAAAGTCATTCAAAGGTTCTATTATGCTGAGTCAACAAAATTAGATGCAAAGATTTTGAGAATGCCTTATTTGGTGAGACACCATTATTTAGTAATAAGTTTTTCTAAGTGTTTAAGTTAGTATATTGTACTTAATAATGGCCAGAGGTATCATTTGTGCCTCATTGACTTAAGGACTTTTCGCTGAAAGCATCATCAGAAACATAACACCTTAAATGCAGGATAAACGTATGCCGCAATGGACGCGACAACGCAACACAGATAAGTGCAGATCTGGACCCTAATAAGTGAATAGGTTTATAAACACAGTTTGTAATGTAAAAATAAATAAATAAATGCGGGCCGTGTATTATTCATTAATAAGTTACGAAATCTTACATGTATCGATCTATCTCTGTTCATCCCAGTACGTTTTAACTCGTACTGTTTAGGGCCAAGGCAGAAGTACTCTTCAAACATCATAATTTGATTGGTTTAATTCATTGGTTTATGATTTTTTTTTCATGGAGGATTTAACTTCATACTGTCCAGTTTTTCTTGATAATTATAAATTTTATGATTGTAGGGCAACAAATTTGCGATGTACTTCATAGTTCCAAATTCGCTGACGGGTCTTTCATATGTGGAGGAGAATATAATGCTACTACCCGGTGAGATACAGTTCCTTGAAAAACATATCGTTGATGTCACTTTACCTAAGTTCAAGTTTGTTTACACTTTGTATTTGGAAAGGACGTTAAAAAAGGTAAGCGAAATGAGGAATAAATAAATAAAGTTATTATTATTGAAGTAAAACTTGTTTACTTCATTACCAATCATTATAATTTAATTGCATTAAAATGTAATTTTAAACTGTAGAGAATAACCTCTAATATTAGGTCTTTACCTATGAAGTCGGAGATTTGTGTGAAAATTTCAAAATATAAAACTTTTGTTTTTTTTAGCTGTTTGTTTAACCCTTTACTGTAGAAGTCTACTGGACGAGAGGCTATGAAGTCAGAGAAAGCGCTTAGTAGTGCCTCTCTGGTGTTGAATTTTTTCCATTAAAATATTGTCTAAATTTTGAAAGGGCCTGGTTAGTACAGCGGATGACGGAGAGTTTCCAGCTGTAAGTATTGTAGCCTTGTGATGGTCTGTCGTGAAGTGTGAGCTCGCGCGTTGTCGTGGAGAAGCAATGGGGAAGAGCGATTGGCCAGACGTGATTGTTGGATTACCAGCTTCTCCATAATTGTTTGCAATACTTAGCACTAGACATCTGCCGTTACTGCTGTGGCCTTTCGGTAAGAAGCTGTTTAGACAGAGTCATTCATTATCATCTTCCTAAGAGGAATCTTTTTTTTAGCCACTGATGCTTTACCCCGGTCGACCCACTGAGATGAACGCTTACGATTATCGCACAGGATCCAGTTTTTGAATAGCTTACGAATAAAATTTATTGAAATTTCAAATTGCACACCAATTCACACAATTAAATCTTAAAAAAAAATGTTAGTTTAAAAATCTCCAACTTCATAGGACTCCAAAATTTTTTATATTTTGTTATAGGTTCGGTAGATTATATAGGTTAGATTTTTAGATTTTTTTTTGTGCTAATAGAGTTTTTTGAAGTCGGTTTTTTTTACTTTTTATTTTTAGTGATTTAATTTAAATACGTAGGTACGAGTATTATAAAATATGGGTAGTAGTAGTAACCTAGTAAAGACACTGCTTGTATGAGAAAATGGCGTCAAACTGAAACCGGGACTGAAAAAGAAAAACGGTTAATAGCAAATAAGCAAAGAAAATAGATTGTCGAAAATGAGATCCTATATGATACGTAGGTTAAATGACGAAAATCAAGAAAATTAACTTCTCCAAAGGCCAAGTATATGTAGCTTTAAGTCAAGTGAAAACCATAGAAGAAATAGCATTGTCTGACTCAGAGGCAAATAAATTACAAAACAGGCCGCATAATGAAAGAACTTTGGCAGAAATTGTAAGATTGTAGACTTATTTCATCATCCTTGGTGTATTCTCAAAGTCAATCAGCTGACCAATATTTTTTTTCCATTAGCGAAAAATTATTCAACTATTACTAACTTTGATAGAATATGTGGATGTACCCTGATATACTGAATTAATCTATGTAACCCTTTCAAGTGTAGAGGCGTGCTGTTATGTTGTGTGATTGCGTTAACAATGCATATTTATGCGATAGCAGCAATCGCGGTTGATTTGCTGTAACTTTTTGAAGAGTTCCGTTGTCTGTCAAAACCAGCCTTTTACTCATCTCGTTGCCAAAAGTGGACATGACAAAATATTTTCATGTTTTAGATGGGTCTACGAATCGCATTCGAAGAGTCTGCTTCGTACCCTGGTATAGCCAGGGGCCAACTTATTTCAAAACGACTAAAGCTCTCTAAAGTAATGCAACGAACCCTCATCGCTGTTAACGAACTTGGTGTTGGTGTGTCTTCTTCGAAAGGTATTCGGTATATTATATTAATTTGCACTTTGCAAATCAAATAAGATTATTATTTATTATTACTCGATAGAGCTGCTACATAAAATAATCCCATATTTTTGCAGGAAATACGACAGTTAGTGAAGTGAATATTGATATAAATGAAGCAAAGGAGGTAATGGGCAACAGGCCATTCTTTTTCTTCATCCAAGACGAGGCTTCAAGGCAATTGTTGGTCTTTGGCAGATTTACAGACCCCACACTTTGAGCAGTTATCAGCGCTAGTAAAATATTTGAGTAAAAAATACTTTTTTGTTTTCATTGTTATTTTTGGAAATGTAAATATAACTGTGCAACTCTTTTGAAATTAAATTTCCGTTTTAACTGTGGAAAGAAACTAACTGTGCATCTAACTTACTGATGAAAACTTACTTATGCTAAAAAGACTTTACTAAACATTGCATTCTGAGAATATGAAGTTTCGCATTTTCTTCATGCAGATACCATCTTTAAGGTAGTTATGTAGTTAAAAACAAGAAAAAAAATACTGGAATGTTGTTACATTATTGAAAAGTACATCATAGCGCCTATAAGACAGTCATTAACATAAAATAAATCTTTCTTAATCTCTGCTCGTAGTCTCTCTAGTCACGGTGCTGGAATTCAGTATGAAGGCGCTTTGAGTAACATATATCCTTCGTCGTCTGTCATTCCCAATCGGTTAACAAATAGATGTGGTAAGTTAGTCATATAGCATAAAACGAGGCTACAGTTTTTAGTTAAATATTAAATTTATTTATTTTTATACATTTATTTATATTTATATTAAGCACATCAACAGCATAACATTTTCATACAACATCATGGGGCGATAACATTTTCATACTTTGAGTTTCAGTTAATTACACAGAAAATAAATATGATCTGACACTTATTATATGTATATCTAATGGAGAGACCCTTTATAGAAATGCTAATTTAATACATAAAGATTCACACAGAGACATAAACCCTAAGCTAGAAAGTGTTTTTAATAATAAAAAAAAGTTTTAATAATAAAAGACAATAAAACAAAACAGAACAGGCGCTCTAAGAGTTGGGCGGCAACGTGGCCTCGTATGGAATGTCTATATGATGTAAATGTCATTGAGAAGACATCAATATTTTTCACCGCCATAGACCTTTCGTTATATAGCCTTGCCATGCGTGTAGGTATTTCAAATGTACGATGGTGACGCATTACCCTTGTATTAATCCTAAACTTAAAGTTGTATATCGATAATTTTGTTATATAATTTTGTACAACGTAAATAAGTCAGAATGAACGCGTCTTTCTTCTTAGCTTAACATGCAAAAATTATTTAACCTGTCACTGTATTGTGGAATAGTTTTACGGATTCCGTTTTTTATGCACAAATATCTGATGAAGCGAAACTGAATTGACTCCACATTATCTACTCGTATATGTGTTGCACAATAAGAGGACCATATAGTGGAACAATATTCCAAATAACTCCTTACTAAGGCGTTGTAAAGTAATTTAATACTGCTGTTGTCTCGAATAGGCTTGGATATGCGGATTATGAAACCTATCATCTTTTTAGCTTTATTTACTAGTGTGTCTATAGAGTGTCTATGTGATCGCGAAACGTTAGTGACGAGGCAAAAATTATTCCTAAGTCACGAATGGTAGTAACTCTGCTAAAGTAAACCTTTTCTATGTAATATTCAAATTTAATAAAATAAAAAAAAAAAGTAAAAGTTATGAACTGGTATTTCTTCACATTGAGAGACCTTTTATTTTACAGACACTATTGCTGTAAAAAAATTAAATCATTTTGAAGCTTGTAGCAGTTACATAAAGGTACTCAAGAAATAAAGCATTGATTTTGAAAGACTGTATGCAAGACTGACTGCATGATAAAACTGCATGAAAACGTTAAAAAATACCTATAAAATGTTAAATATAATAAACATAAGGTCCTAATATAACTATAACGTTAGGAGCAAGAAGGTAGCTTTTGTCTAGGGTTGATTTATATAATTTGGTATAAAGCTTATATTTTGGAATAGTCGAAGCCATGCTTTTTATAACATGGAACAAATGGTTTTCGCATTGTTAAGTTGCACAATTACATTTGCATTATTCTGAAAGTTTAAGCTAATATGAACTATCATACAAATCTTCGTTATGGTTAATAGAAGAAAAGAAAATCTGTAATGATCACTTATGATTGTGGTAAGTTGCTTAGTTCCAACAGAAAGCGTCAAAGAATGATATTTGGCATTATATAAACTGCAAACCTGTTTGTGAAATAAATCGAGCTCTAAGAACTGCCGCTATATAGGCTTTTCGTACAGGTCAATAGAAAAACTGATCATAATACCTATACAATGTATGCATTCACATAATTTTAAATTTAGAACAAATATTATGCAAAAATCTAGTGGCACGGTAGTGCCACTGCCGAGACCAGCCGAGCGAAGCGCAAGAACACTACCTAGCTACTTTTTCTTAAAGCGTTTCGTCGTTTTTTTGAACCTTCATAACTTAGGTTTGAATTTTACCAGATAAACGTAATTCTCGGTATATGATGCCAATAGTAAATATATGCAATATTTTAATAGCATAGCTCTTATACTTCAGATTTTATTGATATCTAAAAAACCCCGATTTCGTCGAAATTCATAGGGTACTTCTTGAAGTCCTAGAAAACTGAAATTTGTTAGTACACAAACAACAAAAGTAATTACAACTTTGAACTTTTCTTCCCTCAACCCAAAAATTTGGGGGCTAAAAATTTGATGCTAGAGGTTTAAAAATTGATATAACACTATGTTATAAATAATAAATACAAATTACATATTTCAATTTGTTTAGTGAATCTCCCCATTGCCCATCCTTAACTTAGCAAATGTGGAATTAAGCGCGTGCAAAACGTGCTTGCCGTCCGAACAGAAACGATTGTTACCGATTAAGTCCGAAGTCAATATCAGAAAGCGTCGATGGTTGAACCCGAACGAGCACACATACGTCCGTGTGGTGACGGATTAAGAATACAAATTGTCACTACCCCAATTCATCCCGTGGGTGTCGTAAGAGCCGACTAAGGGAGCAAACTAAGCAGGACAACAGCACTGCAAAGAGAAGGAAAACTTGAAACAAACCCTCTTTTTTTTTTTTAACGTGTGGAAATCCCCTCGGACCGTCACCCCTCCGGGGTTTGCGGCGGGGTGGTGTGTCGTACTCGGACCGACTAAAACCACACGGTGGGCTCCGTCTCAAAAAATTTTTTTTCCTCTCTTTAGGCGACGTCCGGCACACGCGGACGCCGCCCCCTCGCGGCTGGCCAAACTAATGCGGGTGGAGGGGAAACCCACCCCGTCCACCCGCGGCCACACTCAGGGCGGCATGAGGCGGTGATAGGCGCGCCCTATACCAACCCGCTTGGCCAGCGTGGTATAGTAGGCCAAAACCTCCTTTCTAAGGAGAGGCCTATGTCCAGCAGTGTACTAGTATAGGCTGTTGATCAGAGCACACATAGATAAAACACTATAAATCTAAGCTACACATATACGTCGCCGTCGTGGTGAGTGGACGTCTCGATCCGGTTTTTGATGCGATTTGATAATAAATTATCCTGACAAAATGTGTAAAAATATAATGATGCAAAATTGATGGGGTATAAATATTTTATTACATTATTATTTATTATGACAGAAGGCATCTCTGATGTGCAAGAAATACACCTCCAAAAAAGAAAGAAAAAATGAACAAATTAAAGAGCTATGCGTGGGTCTCACTAAAAGATTTTAGAATAGGCCAGTAAGAAAAGCAGCATCCACCACGTCAACGCTCCAGCTTACCCCGCCAAACTGACTATTGAATATCTGTCTAACGAATGTGTAGAGGTAGTGAGTCATCCTCCTTACAGTCCCGACCTGGCTCCTTGTGACTTTTACTAATTCGAAAAATAAAATATAAACTTAGAAAGAACGTTTTAAGAACTAGTCAAAAAGTCGTGGAAGAGATTCCTAAAGAAGAGTGTACTGCTTTAGACACTGGCTCCAACGCAAGTGACGGTGCTTAGAACGGAAAAGAGACTTCGAAAAACAATAAAATATTCTATATCATTCCGTTTTGCTTTTTTTAATCACCATTTTAGTCAAAATATGTGGCTTGACCGCTTTGATACCGTCACATGGGCGTAAGGTGAAAAGTTTATTTCGCTACTATCAGATGGGCGTAAGGTAAAAAATTTATTCAATGTTCATTACTTAACTGTTCTACAATATTTCTGGTAGTATTGTGAAGTAAGGGCTTGTAGAGTTAGGGCGGGTAGAGTTAGAAGTTTGACTCTGATCTCTTTTTGACAGTTCGAGCCATATAGGCTCGTCTTGTCAACATTTTACATGAAAATGTATTTGGTGGGATATAATTTTTTACTGCACTTCTTCTAGTATTGTAAATTTTACACTGTATTGCTAGCGAATTTGCTACGTATTCCTTTACTTTTGCTCCCTCGCCCTGAACGTTTTCCTCACCTAAATTTACCTTTTTCCTTTGTCGCGTCTGAAAAAGATTGCATTCCTAAGGAGGAAGGGCATCCGGGAGGAGGCCGGAAGTAAAACAACAAAAGAGTTTGAAAATGATTAAAAGAATACAACAGTAACTATGTACGTCTAGAAAGCTGTTCGGATCATGTTTATATAAGGAAAAGGTGATACGTGATTTGTAGGATTTATGCCACTATTTTTCCGGGTTATGATATGTTACGAATAACTCTTAGCTATTTCAAGTTGTTAATTCAAGATAGCTTGCTATTTATTTTCTGTAATTCGTCGTAACAATAACCAAATCTCCAGGACAAGGGGGACAGCAATGTATTAACAGCTGGTGTACTCGTATTGTCCTAAGTCGCTGACTGTATTGACATAACTTACCGAAAGGCCAACCATGGATTTGTTCTAAATAAACCATTTCCTAGTTTAATTTAAAAAACACTTTAGAATATTTATTATTCACAATAATCCTTTGATATTTTTTTATAATTACTTTTAATAATCCGATTATGTTAATTGATGTTAACCAATGAATATTACGGACGAACAAACGATTTTGAGTAATTAATATCTACAAAAAATGGCAAATCCCCAACGGGAGGACAAGGAATAATAATACTTATTGATAATGAATTTACGTATAATGTTCCTTAGAATATTTTTCGAGTCTCTGTATTACTCATAAATGCGCCAGATAGTCGCTTGGTCACTTCTTTGTAATTTGTTCAAGTTCTCGCGTCAGTGTGTTTACATGTGAATTGGATTGTGGTCGTTTATTGACATTCATGAAGGTAAAAATAACCAGTTCTGTAGCAAGTTCGTTACATGCAATTAATAAGCAGAAATCAAAATGCGTCCCTCAAATGTTGGTGGTAAGTTTTATTTCATTATAACTATTTTCTAAGTTTAGGTTATGAAAAAACATATAAATAAGAATGACGTTGATGATACTTTATCTTCACCACAAAAAAATAATCGAGAAGTTAAGATACTTATTATGTCAGTATTACATTTAAAATATCAAACTGTATTAAAAGAAATGAATGACTGAATTGAACTCTGATCAAACTCGAAAATTTCCTTCTAAATTTTGTAATCATCTATACTAGTATAATATTAAACACCCTACTGCTTTTTAAGCTGTCTTTTAATAATACTAAACTAAATCGTTGCAGGGAAAACCCAGACCGGGTACCGAATCATAATGCAAATCTACTGATCAAGGCTTCTTAATACCTGTTCGTGAACATATTTTAAAACTTTTTCTTAATTGCAATTAAGAGGTTTTGAATGCAGTGGTTTTATAAAATACTTTAAGCTGTAAAATAAATAAACTTTAAAATTATGTTTTACTGTTAAAATTTACATCCGTTTTTAATATCTGATGTATTAAAAGGCAGAAACAATATCATCACACACCATCATCATCACAACAACATCACTTTGCCATAGGGCTCTTGCTCCTATGATTTGACAGCCTATTAAGTCCCAGATAGTATCTCTTGATCGATTCACCTACTCTCTAGGCGTTGTCCTAAACTCATGGCAGCTTTGGTGCAATCGATCTTTAAAAGGGTGACCACTTGGATCCGTAAAACTATAGCCATAACTTCCATAGCTATATTATCGAAGATAAGGAATATTACGGCAATACTGTTTCCTTTAGAGGCGCTTACCTGGTGTTCTTCTTATATAACTAAATCACCGTTGGGTACAGGCGATCCAAACAGATGGAATGATGTGCGGCTAGTTTGGATATAGCGCAGGCGTTTGATCTAGCAAAAAGAAAACAGTTTTCCTATGGCCTTCCTGAGAAACTTTTTTCTGCAAACAGAAGTATCAAGGTTGTCGTTGACGATGCTTACCCCGTCTCAAAATCTGTAAATGCTGGTTTCACCACAAAACTGTGTTCTAATACGCATACTGTTTCTTCTGCATATTATGATATGTGTCAAATTAGCAGCATTTATTCATCAATCATCATCGACAGCCTATAACAGTCCACTGCTGGACATAGGCCTGTCCTTAGAAAGGAGGTTTTGGCCTACTATACAACCCGGGCCAGACGGGGTTTGTTTTAAGTTTTCCTTCTCTTTGCAGTGTTGTTGTCCTGCGTAGCTTGCTCCCTTAGTCGGCTCTTACGACACCCACGGGATGAATAGGGGTGGTGACATTTCGTATTCTTAATCCGTCACTACCCGGACATTTATTACTATGCAGATAATAGGACGGGTAAAGCTTTTTATATAGGCTGCTCCAACATTTCTCGAGAAAACTTCCTCGAGAATGGAATCAAACTTATGTAGACTTAATGTAGTCCAAATTATGTCCAAATCCCATGAACAAGCTTCTTCTAGACTGCATTCAACGTGAATTGTTTTCTTGTGTTATACTAGCCGCAGCTCTCCATCCGCAAAACATCCATTCATATCATTTGGATAATTGGCACTCTGCCACGTTACATGAATCTTTTAGCTTTATATAATATATCTGTACAATGTATTGTCGCCTGCAGTATTTCCGGACCGATACTAATTCCAAACTTCCACCCACTTCAAAGGCTACAACGCAATCGTAATTCCCGAGTTGCACATGTACATGAGCTCATTCTTAACAGGTGACCCATTAGCTTGTTTGCCTAATGTTTTACCAAAAAATCTGATTCATATTCTCTTAACACTATACAACTTAGTTCTATAAAAAAAAGTGGATTAAATTTAGGTGTATCTTTAAATTAAGAACATCATAATATAGTGTTCAAACGATTTTCTTTACTTTTAAAAGGAGATGATATAAATCACACATTTCATTAAATCTAAATGTTCTTCTAAATTTCAGGAATAATATGCATCCTGCTTCAAATTTTGGAATGTCAAGGAGGCACTCCAGTGAGCCGGCTAAACTTTTTTGATATTGAACTCCTGCGGCACGCGGCGGAAGGCAAAAAAGGCAATGTGATGGTTTCACCAGCAAGTATCAAATCTACTTTGGCCATGATATTAGAGGGAGCCAAAGGAACGACGGCAAAAGAAATCAAAGATGCTTTAAGAGTATCTCCCGAGAAAAATGACTATAGAGAAGAAATGAAAGTATTCGCCAAAGTTTTTGAGGTAGGTTATAGTTATTGCTACTTTTCAATTATAAAATTGTCGTAATTCTATTAGTATAGCACTTATTCTAAGTAAAAAAATGAAATACTATCTGTCGCGAAGTACCTACTTCATTTTTGAATGATTAGAATAATTTGGCTATTTTCTCCTCCGTGTGTGAGCTCGTGCTCAGACGAACAAAATTTTTAAAGGTTCACAGGTTATTTTTTATTGGGACGGCTACTTCTAAACAAAAATAGTATATAAGCCTATAGAAGTAAATGAACTTACACTTGATAAAAAGGATCAAATAAGAATGATTTGTTTTGATTTATATTGTCAGTTTGGAATTGCCATTCCGTGTATTATTTGAACAGCAAACAGGTTTTAAATTTAAGAACTACATTTAGCATTAACTTGTTTAGATATTCAGATATTTTGGATTTAGCCCAAGCGTTGTTTTCGTTAAATTTTAAAGTGCACGTATTAAACGAAATACATAATAATATTAAAAATAATAATAGGATTACTTGTTAGTTTTAGTTAAAAATGAAAATTTTTAATAGTTATTTTTCTATTAATACATATTTCTTAATATGCTATCTTATTTTCTAATTTTTATATGGAAACAAATCATTTGTTCACGAGCGCGAACGCATGTACAAAAAGTTTACATGACGCATAGGATATGAATCTTGAATGACATGTTTTGTAGTAAAAACCTTTCCTACTCAATTCTTAAGGTGCCCCTTATCTCAAAAACCTCATACGCGTGGTGACTGACTAAAGAGTAAATACCTGAATATGCAAAAAAAATATGCCCACAAAATTTTCTTACTTTATTGAACTTGGCTTGGTTAAAACAACTGTGTGTAACAGACAAAGTATTACGATTAAATTGTTTATATTAATAGATACTACACGAACGAGTTTAGATATTGGTCACGCTACCTCGACTCTAAACAGAATTGAGGAAACTTATTCAAAAAAAGCATATTTTTTGCTACATGGATTTTCATATGAATTTACTGCATTTTAATTTAAGCAAACTTGTTTGAAACTAGATTTGCGTTGGTAGTTTTAATAATTATAACTTGAGAAAACTTGATAATATTATGTAGCTGTATACATATATGTAATTATTCTTTACATTTGTAGGTCACTGAACTGATCCTAAATCCCTCGGTCAATTTTATTAATTTTTCATAGGTGCCTCAAATGTTCTTTTGGATGGTTTATAAAATGTGGTAAAACGTTACAGTTTTTCAAACCTTTAATTAATTTATTTTATTGTCACAATAAATTTTAAGTCTAAAACGATACGCTTGTATATTTAAAAGCTTACGGTTGCCATTTAAAGATGTTCTTTGTTTTTTTATCGAAATATCTATACAAATAAATAAAATGGAAGTGTCTGTTTGTAATATTAAAATAACCGCTTTTTACTAAAAGCATATGTATGTTTACACGGTACATATGCCAAAATAACATTTTTTACAATTTTTGTCTGTCTGTCTGTCTGTTTGTTCCGGGTAATCTCTGGAACGGCTGGACCGATTTCGACGGGACTTTCACTGGCAGATAGCTGATGACATAAGGAGTAACTTAGGCTACTTTTTTTAGACTAGCTTCGCTCCGCGGCGTTGCCCGCGGTTATAACAACAAACGCGGGTAACACCGCGGGTCTCAGCTAGTTTTTAAAATAAAATTCTAAATAAATTACAGGCTAATAATACAGTTGTGTCTCTCCAAAATGCGAATGCATTGTTTGTATCAAGGAAACTGAATTTGGAGAAACAGTACGAATCAGTGGTACATCGTCTCTACTTGGCTGAAATAAACAAACTGAATTTTAATGATCCTAAGTCTGCCGCAGACACAGTTAATGCTTGGGTAGATAAGAAAACACACGGGCTAATACCTACTATTGTTGATGAAGGTGAGCGAAGATTTTATGATTTAATTATTAAAATAATAAATTTCTCAAATCCCAAAAACAAAGTGTTTTTAATACAGTTATTTTTACACTATTCTGGTACCATTACATCAAACACTAATGCATTATTTTTATAATTTTAAAAAAGTACTAAGGTAGAACAGTGTGTGTAGTAAAAATAAAAAAAAAATTAAAGATTTCATCTTTTTTTTTAATCAATTGATCATATATTTTCTTATAATTATTTAGAATTAAAACTGACTAAGTAAAAATAAATTTTCACAACATCATCAAGTTAGCATTATTCCTATAATTACGGCATTTATTTATTAAATTGTTTGTTTTCTTTGTCATAGATCAAATAACACCATCTACGGAGATGATGATAACTAACGCCCTCTACTTCAAAGCGCCATGGAAGCATGGTTTTAACACTAAAGCAACTTATGGCGATTGTTTTTACAACAATGGCATCTGTAAAAATGTTTCCATGATGATTCTCCAAGCTGAGCTGAATTACGCATACGTGCCAAATTTGAGGTCCCATGCCGTAGAGCTACCTTATCAGGTAATGGAATAAATGAAAAGCAAATTAAGTTCTTGTATAAATTATAATCATTATTATAGTTTATTAAGACCGAAACAAACAAGCTGTACACGCACGCACTGATCTAATAAGAAGAAAAGTGTGCACTTTTCACCTAGTTTCATTACCAGAATATCTTTGCGAAGCCCAATTTGTGGGAGTGTCATTAAGTTTAGGGCCTATACTAGTGAACAAGTAGCAACTGAAGTGTTTCACTATCACTTTGCACTTCCTAAATAAAACCAGGAGATCAGCCCTAAGATATAAATTTATAGCATTATCATCCAAACATATATATATATATATATATATTAATTTTGACGGGACAATCTGGTTAAAATTTGTAGTTTGTCAGTAGGAAAGAATGTTAAAAATGCGATAGAACTGTATTTCAATAATCAAGTGAACTTTTTATTAAAGAACAAGTCAATTTGAAGTTTAAACAATGCATTTCAAAGACATTATTGATACAATTTCAGGACGATCGGTACTCTATGTATCTACTAGTCCCTCAAGACCGAAATGCTGAAATAACCCAAATCCGAGACTTGCCTTTCGTATCACTGACGGAAATATCCGATCTCATGGATCCTGTTGATGCTGTTCTTACGATGCCCAAGTTCGATGTAGACTACAGTGATGATATGGTTGAACCTTTAAAAAACGTAAGTGAACTCAAAGTAGACATGAATTATTTTGTTTGATTTGTTATTTAATATGTTGTTTTACATTCGACAAAATATTTGAGCTTAAACTCAAAACTCAATTATACTATCCTGAATTTGTTAGAACTAAAATTAAACACATTATTTTTCAGATGCGTATCACAACGCTGTTCTCCCAAGCAGCAAATCTTTCTGGTATTTTTGGAGCAGGAGAGTACGCCTATCTTAACAGCATATATCATTCTGTCCACATGAAAGTGGATGAAGTGGGTACCATCGCAGCAGCAGCCAGTACTAGCGTCGTGGTACCTTTGATCAATGACCAGGTGCAGCTGGAAATTAACAGACCCTTCTTATTTTTTATAAGAGATAACAAACTCGGAGTAACACTTTTCGAAGGCAAGATTGAAGAGCCTACAGAGTTTGTTAAAAATAGTCCACCTCAGGGTAATTATTATAACTTCCTATACTGTGTTTGTTTTGTAGAAAAAATATTTATCAGTATTTGTCTGATTACAACTCTCTTAAAATTTCAAAAGATTAAAACAATTTGGAGACCGCCCAGTTTTCCAAAGAGTGCTTCTTTTGAGAGCAGGTATTTTTTTTTTTTAAATAATCAAACTCCTAATAAATCCTAGCTGATATTTACATATATATAAATATATCGCCATTATTAGAATCGAGACAATGAAATATAAAGTTCTGACTTCGAGGTTTTGTAACGGTGTCGCATGTTTTATTAAATTTATTGTCATTTATATCAGTACTTTCCACGACATGTGCAAGGTTAAAGGTGGGTTTCGTGTCACTGTGGGTGACATTAAGCCGGGAGGTTGTTTAAGTAACTAAGTGTTGCCGTCATGACATGTTCTGTCGCCTTTACAGATTATTTAAATGTTGTTTACATCTATCACTATGTCATTATCGATATTTTGATAACATATTATTCCTATTTTAGGTATACCACAATTATCTCCACAATTATCGAAACAACCACTTGCAAGTTATAATCCCCAAAATCAAGCGTCTGGACAAACAAACTTGAATCCAGTACCTCCAAAATATCAAACATTTTATCAAGAAGGGGGGATCCGGACAAATTACAATCAGAGCGCTTTAAATAAATCCAACTCTTATCAGGGAGACTTTAATCAGCAAATAGACCAATCAAGTAGTGCTCAACATAACAGCGGACTAGGCTCAAGTGCATTTTCAACAGGTAAGACTATAGACCATCTACTAAAACACAACACAACTATCTAATATCAGACGTTAGACCACGGCCCGCGAGACATTATCGCCTCGCTTGCTCGAAAGATCCTCTCTTTGTGATGGAGGAACGTAACATCCGTTTCTTACCTGTAATGCATACATAGTCATAATTGAATTAATTTTTGTTTTATTGATTATAATTCGTTCGTTGTATTGATCGAAGATTACACTTTTGTAATTTTCAGATTTCGTAGACGATCAATCACATAAGCTTTCAATGTTTTGTTCTAGTTTAGTGTGCAGGAGCCTAAAACTGATAATGACATGGTATTTAACGAAACTGTTAATACAATGTACACATTTTATCAATTACAGATCAGCCACAAGTATTTCAACAAGGATCAACAAATCAGACAAAGTTCAATCCTGACCCACAAAATTATCCCAAAGTTAACAAACCAGGCATAATTCGAATAAATAACACATCTAGTTCTTATCAAGGAGGATTAAACAAGCCAACTTTATTTTCAAACCGGCAAATTTTAAATCACGAAAGAGTTCATCAGCACCACAGTCGGCCCAGCTCAAGGCAACCACCTAATCTTGGAGTAGGCAGAAGAGATCTTAATTATGACTATGATTACTTCTACTAGATTATAGAAATTATGGTCGAATTGCAGATTATAGAAATATAGTTTAGTTACGTGTCAAACGATTGAGGGAGATTTATTGAGCTGGATGAAAGATGTTACGCTGTTATTTGTGTAATTATCTGCTTTTGAATTTGAATAAAAAATAATTTACGATCATGAATTAAATATATTTGTAACTACTCTTAATTGTGGTATATTAAAAATAATATTACGCCACGAGCATCAAATACCCCTTTTACACTACTTTGCTACATGGTTTTCTTAAGACGATTTTCATAGTAATTCTTTATAAACGTTATTTCACCAAAAATAACCTATCCCGACTAAATAAAATACAGTGTAATATATATATGTATGTGTGTAAGTTTTGAAGAATTTGGATAAAATTATTAAACTCTATTCCTCCATGCTTGTATTTATGTGTTTTTTTTATACAGGGATGAACGAAAAGACAGGTCACCCGATGGACATCCACCAATAATCACCGCTCATAAACAACAGTAGACAATGTAAGACCCATTAACTAAAAAAAATAAATTTTAACTTGCAAAAACCAGGTCGTTGGTTCGATTCCAACCCCTGACTAAAAATTAAGTTATGAGCACGAAAATTTGTTCTATGACTGGCTATCTTTTTTCTGTATATTTATGTATTTGGTCTAGTCATAATAGACAATCATAGAAATATTATTCTTATTCAAATTAGTAATTAGGTATTCTTAGTGGCCTTTTCAATGAAAGGACAGGTTCGCAAGTACACGACGCCGGTCCCGGTCTCTTCAAGCTACCGCAGTCCAGTCCCGTGTCCCATGGGAGATTATTGTTACCCCCAAAGTCGAAATCCCCAACCCAATTTCTTTACATTCCCATTTAAGGTTGGCGTCAGACAGGCGGCCGGTCTTAAAAAAAGTAGTATAACCAGACACATTTTTGTAACATTCTTAGATTGGAAATTTTCAGTATGGAGTAGGTATAAGTAGTCTATAAGTAGCCATAGAATTCAGCGTCAACCGTTGGAACATATAAAATTCATATGAAATGTTTTCGGGGATTTACAAGTGTAAGTATATTGAAGTTTTTTTTATGGAATAGGGGGCAAATAGGCAGACGGGTCACCTGATGGAAAGCGACAACCGCCGCCAAGAACACCTGCAACTCAGGATTCACAAGCGCGTTGCCAACCTTTGAGGAAGGAGTATGCTCTTGTCTTGAAGGTTTGAAGGTCGTATCGGTCCGAAAATACCGCAGCCGACAACTTGTCCCACAGATTGATAGTGCGAGGCAAAAAGTATCTTGAGAAGCGCACAGTGGTGGAGCGCCAATTATCCAAGTGGTGGGGATGAAAATTTTGTCGTGAGGAACGAAGGTTGCAGCCGGTATTAGTCCGAACAATTCACTCTCCATGATATATACGTTAGTGAATGCAGAGCGAAGCTACATCTCTGAGTAACGCCAAGGGATCGAACCGGGCGCAAATCTTTTGGCTATCGACGATTCGAGTCGCTCTTCTTTGGATTCGGTACTGTGGTGCCCCTGCATAGCGATGAGAGCAGTGTTCCATATGCGTTCGTACTTGCGCCTTATAGAGACGATAGGCTGGAGTGAAATACTGGCCGATTTAACCTTACCCTCTAAATGACCGCAAAACTGGACTTCGCTCAATATCTCGATGCCTAGGATTGCAATACTGGCTGAGGCAATTAGGGAATGCTCTCAAACCGAGGCGATACGACAAACGATATCTTTTTTGCGGTGCGCAAACCTGTGTCTTTTTGGGTTAAAATTGACCAGATTTAGTCGACTCCAAGCTGAAACCTCCGCTAAGGAAGCTTCAACTTCAGACACAAGTTCGTTTTGACTCTCCATTAAGTTTTCCCGAGAAACATTGGGAAGGCCGGTATAGAGGGCATTTCCATTTCCCGTGCTATCATTTGCATAGCAATGGATGCCACTAGTTCGTAACATATCATTGATATGCAGAAGAAACAGTGTGGGTGATAGCACACAGCCTTGCGGGACACCAGCATTTACTGACTTCAAATCGGAGCATCCACCGTCGATAACGACCTTAATGCTTCTACCTGCAAGGAAACTGGTGACCCATTTACATAATTTCTCGGAAAGCCCATAGGAAGGGAGCTTCGAGGGAAGCGCCCTCTGCCTCATCCGATCGAAGACCTTCCCTTTGTCCAAGCTTACCGCACAAGTCTCTCCCGTGGTCTCGATCGCCTGTGCCCACTGGTGTGTTAGATAAACAAGAAATTCACCAGCTGAGCGACCCCGGCGAAAACCACATTGTCGGTCATTGAGTAGCTGGTGATTTTCCAAGTACCGGAGGAGCTGGCAGTTATTTAAGGATACCATAACCTTAGAGAACAAGGGATTTATGGCTATAGGCCTGTAGTTGGATGGATCAGAGCAGTGACCTTTTTTAGGGATCGGGTGCACAAACGCTACCTTCCAGGAGATCGGAACTACGCCTAGGGAGTAGGAGAGTCGAAAAAGGCGAGTTAAAACCGGTGCCAACTCCGAAGCACACGTCTTCAACACATAGGGGAGATTCCACCGGGCCCACTAGACTTATGAATATTGAGGGAAAAGAGTGCTTTACGCACTGATTTCTGTGTAAACCGGATTTTTGGCATACAGCTCTAGCACCGCGGTATGGTCGGCGGTACGGTTTCCCCCGTCATCAAAAGTCGAGTTGGACGCAAATAGTTCGCCTAGGAGATCGACCGGCTTTCTTCTTGGCATCATAGGCCAACGAATCATCGCCCATCTGCAGGGGTGGAAGGGATTGGCTACAGAAATTTCCCTAACGAGAGACCAGAATGCACGAGTTCCAGAAGGAAGTCCCACCAGTCTCTCACCAATCCGGCTGATGTGCGCCGATTTCGTCCTAGCAATGGCTCTTTTGAGGGATCTAGAGGCAAAGTTGTATTCTTTTTTTAGCGTGCTGATGTTTACATTATTTCGTCGCTGCATTAGCCCATACCTGGTAACATTTCTGCTTTCGGCAGGACGCCGTTTTGCAGGGTCTGTTAAACCAAGGCTTGGATCTGCCACCAATGGGAATGAGTGTAGATGGAACAAATAGTTAGATGCCCTGAAGCATCAGTGACAGAATCGGCAACGATGTTGGGATCATCCGGCAAGAAACAAACCCGCCCAAATAGGTTGGACGCAAAAAAAAGAGCGCATCCCATCCCAGGCCGCTGACCTGTAGTGCCATACGCGGTGGCAGCCTGCAACGAGCACGTGAGTGGCACCGTACTCCGTATTGGGCAATGATCTGAAGAGCCAAGGGGCGGCGGTAGTCACTTTCCATCAGGTGATCCGTTTGTTCGTCTGCAATCGTCCATAAAAAAATGGCAGAAATTGTGATTACTATTTTGAAATAAAAGTGTACCTTATAGATTTAAATGTTAAAGAATTACTATCACGTATTCGTACTAATTCGTATCACGACCAGATCTGTGATTGAATAGTAATCCTTAATACAATTTAAAACCATGGTTTTGTTAGGCACCTACAAAAGATGGCGCTTTATTCAGTAATACTAATACACTTCAGTTATCCAAAAAATTACGAGATGACTCTAGTGTAAGGATGGTCATTGCAAATTGTTTCTAAAAGCTGATATCGTTATTATCAAAAATGTTAATACCATCTAATTAAATGTCACCCCATTTTGAATGTAAAAACGTAATAGAATAAATATGAGCCTCTACCTCTATGTGCTGTCAAATACTTGCATCACCTTACATATAAACCGGATAGCAGTCTTGATTCTGTTTTTATGATATTTTACCTCTCGCATCAGTGTGTTCACATGTAAGCTGACTTGTAGTCGCTTATTGAGGTTTCTGAAGACGAAAAAACCTGTCTTATAGTGCCTTGTCATGCGAATATAATAAACAGATGCAAAAATGCGTTCGTCAATTGTTGCTGGTAAGCATTTTTTATTTAAAAATCAGTTTTTAACGAAATAAAAAAGAATGAGAATGAGATAATTTACCGGATACGTGAATAACAATATATAGTTAAACAAAAGATCTCAAAAAGACCAAATACAGAAACAGATTTCTTATGTACTTAGTTACTTTAGGTTACACTTTATAAATGAGTCCTCTAAAATAGTATTATCGTGATGTTATCTTTAAATCGACAACATTGCACTAATGTTCTATTTTTTATTGTCATTTTTTAATACAACCATGGTCGTTGTAGAGAAAAACCCAAATACCTGGTTTTGAATCACACCGAACTGTCTATTGACGTTACTTAGAACTTGTTACATAGTTAATGAATACATTTAAAACAACTTTAATGGGGGTTTTCCTTGTTTAATATCCTGTAATGTGTTTACCGTGTAATGGAATAAAATTCTAAAAATATTTAAATGTTAGTGAACTTAATGTATAGATTTAGCTTTTGCCCGCGACTTCGTCCTCGCACGAGTATTATTTAAAGTGAGAGTTTGGAATCGATAACTTTACAAACCTAGTTCAAGTTCCCTATACAAACTTACACCACTTTATAAGTTCTTTTTTTGATAAATTAGTAACAACGTTTCTATTACTCTTATAATAAAGAGTATTTACTGTGAGTTTGGAAACGCTGCTACTAAAAATAACGAAGTTTCATACAAATTTCCAACCCCTATTTTGCTCCATTAAGGTTGAAATAAAAATTCTGTTTCAGTGCACATCTTCCTTGTATTTTGTGAAACGATTTACTAATAAAAAGTTATCTATCCATCTACGTCATCTAAGGCACATTTGTGCAAAATTTTGTGTTTCTAGGCCAAGCGGTTTCAGCTGTGCGTGAACGATCAGTCACTCAATCTGTCAGGTTCTTCTCTTTTGGATATAGACTAGCTTTTATACGCTACGTTGGACGTTTAAAATAGGTTTTGGCGTAAAATCCTTTACATTAGGTTTACATTACATTTAGGTTTTAATAAAAAAAAAAAATATATCCATTCAAGTATTGACAGTAAACACAGAGGCCATAAAAGAAGGTTGTATGCAACTATTTTCATAGTAGCTGACTTCTACCACCTACTAGCAACTTACGTTAAAAACTGTGCTAAATACCTATTTTTTGGAATTCAAAAGTAAAACAAAAAATACCGAAAAGAAACAAATACATTTGACAATTTTAAGCTGCCCCTTACAAATCTTACAATACTAGTCACTATAGACGGCAAAATGTGGGTGTTTTAACTCGCCCCTTTGGGAACAAAAGACGTAACAGTGAGAGAGCGCAGAATAACTAAACCTTACGTCTCTAGAGACGTGAAGTTCAGTTGTTTCAGAAAGCTTTCATAGCAACCCTTATACAAGCCCACTCTACCTGATATAATGCCAGCATTGATAATATATATATCTATGGGTGTTTTTTGTGGGTGTTGTGTGTGTGTAAAGGGATATATTACTAGTGTGGCAGTTGTTTTTTATCATAATAATAAAAGTACTTGTGTAGTATAATAACACATTTCTTTGTTATTTTACGAAGATGTTTAAAGAGTATAATATTATTAAACTGTTTAACCTTTCACGAAGATAAAGAAACCTTCATGTGCACTGTACTTGGGAATAGGACTGGTGTTATTAGTATGTCCATCAAAGCTGAGCAAGACTTACGTGTATTAAGGTTTAGGAAACATCTAAGATTAGCGATGACCTCAGAACAAACCCAACTTTCACTTTTTGTTATCTTAAAAGAGAAAGAGGGAAAAAAACACAATTTTGAGTGCTCAAAAGTATTTGAAAACGTAAATACCTTGGTTTAAAAGCTTCTTAGAAAGTTATAGGAAACGTTTCCCTTGGCAACCGATAAATTAGTTTTATTTAAACAACGAATAATAGGGTCTTTGCGAATATTACAAACCGGTCCAGTTTTTTTATTTACATAAAATACACATATCACACACATATATAACTTTAGTAACACGCCTTCACTCGCGTTACTAAAGTTTTTGTCAGTTATGGTGTTACAAATACAAGAACTAACATTACGGTCAGGATTTAACTATAATAATTGTTTTTTTTTCTAGCGATAACCTTCAGCCTTCTTCAAATCTTGGATTGTCAAGGCGGCACTCCCATTAACCGTCAAAGTTTTTTCGATCTTGAACTTCTTCGGTACTCAGCAGAGAAAAAAAATGGAAATGTAATGATTTCGCCAGCTAGCATAAAGTCCACTTTAGCTATGCTATTAGAAGGAGCGAATGGGCCGACTGCTGCGGAAATCAAAACTGCCCTCAGAGTGTCTCCCCAGAACGATGAGTTTAGAGAAGAACTAAAAGTGTTCTTGAGGGCTTTTGAGGTATAGTATTTACCGCTTAGGATTTATTACGTTTAATTAGTAAATATTATTTCCCTATTTATCCGTGTGGTGACGGATTAAATATACTGAGTGTGAGCTGAGTAACGGAGCAAACCACGCAGGACAAGAGTACTGCAAAGAGAAGAAAAACTTCAAATAAACTCTATACCAAAGCGTCTGGCCAAACGTTTCTAAGGAGAGGCCTGTGCCAAGGAATAGGCAACTAAAGGCTGTTGATGATGATTTTTCTGCCATTATTGCAATTTTATTTTGAGTCAGCTCAATGTGTTATATTGCAAACGTTTTCGCTGGTCTCGTATATAGCCGGATGGTCAAAAAGTATTTGCCCTGCCTGATTTCATACTGGACAAGGGTAATAGGGGTTAGGAAATTGGATATGGCGAGGGAGTCAGGATTAGGGAAACACATGTCTTGAATGAGGAAACGGGATTAGGACTGCAGTAGTTTGAAGAGACTAGGGTCGTGTACCCGTATTCCTGTCCTGTGGTTAGACATAACTAAATAATATTTAGTACTTTAAAAAAATAATTAAGTAATAAATTTAAAGATAGTATAACTAGAAATCTTGTTATGACCAAACCCTACTCACACATAATACGGGTTGATATAGGGTTTGTGTCAAGTTTTCCTTCTTTTTGTGGTGCTGTTGTCCTTCGTAGTTTATATCCACTGGATTAATAGGGGTGGTGACAATTCGTATCCTTTATCCGTCATCACACGGACAACTCGGTGATACGTATATTTTAAATAACTTATTGCATTTCGCTGAGAATTTTCGTCCAGTTTTGGATGGACTTCAAGTTTGGAATTTAAAACGAGTAGGTTTACGATTCCAAAACTTGATATTACAGCTTTAAATTACAAGTATGTTCAAATATTTATGCAGGTTATAAATTTAAAAAAAAATCGTTAATGTTTATGAGTCAAAAATAAAATTTAAAACCAAAGCATGCTGGAAATGTGTCAGAAGACTGGTATCATTGGGATATACCTGCCTGGGATATATTAGCGTTGATCACGAAATAAATAAATGAGTAAAATATCAATAAAATGAGAAAATACCTGTTAAATGAAGTTTTGTTTTAAAGCAGGCGAATCGACCACTTTAATAAAATTAATTTCAGGCTAACAGTCCTACCGTTACTCTACAAAATGCGAATGCGTTATTCATTTCCAACAAACTCAAATTGAAGAAACTGTACAAGGCAATAGCACAAGGCTTGTATCTTGCAGAGTTAGAGAAAGTGAACTTTAATAATCCTAAGACCGCCGCTGACGCAGTGAATAAGTGGCTAGATAAGAAAACTCATGGACTAATACCTAGTATTATTGATGAAAGTAAGTAACGTTTTTCATTAAATTTAGAAGTTCCTATTTCTGATCAGAAGAAGAATCTCTTTGTATTATGTATTTAATATAAAACTAAATACTGACACTACGGACTAATCTACACAGATTAGTCCGTAGTGTTACGCTATTATAAAAAAAAGTTGATATGCCATAAAATAAAAAAATAACCCAAATGCAAAGTGCTTAATTTAAGGCTACTTTTAATACATTCGCCTTGGATTACAATAGCTTAATATACCTGTTGATTGACTATTTGTATAAAGGGTACCTGTTGATCACGCAAAAAAAAACCTATTCGAATAAAACATGACTTCAATTTTAAAACTGTCTTTTTTCACTATTATAGGTGACATTTCACCGTCTACACAGATGATAATAACCAATGCCCTCTACTTCAAGGCACCTTGGAAGAACAGCTTCAACATTAAGAGGACCGAAAGAGACTGTTTCTTTAATAATGGCTTCTGCAGAAATGTCGCTATGATGAGCCTCATAGCTAAACTCAATTATGCTTATGTGCCAACCTTGAAGTCCCATGCTCTAGAGTTGCCGTACCAGGTAAGGGTATTCAAAGTAGTTCATTTGTAATTTATAAGACCATGATTTATTTACATAAGTGATGGGTTCTACTGATCTGCTAACAGCTGTCCGTGGCCTTCTTCTGCATGTTTATATTTAAGAGATGTTCGAGATAGCATACCCAGTGGTTTTGGTGGAGCTTTGAACCTTGAACTACAGTTTGTGGTAGCTTTTGATTAAAATATGTTTTATTGAAATAATAAATGCACACCGTAATTATTTTCAGGATGATCGGTACTCTATGATTTTATTAGTACCTCAAGACCGTAATGCTGAAATTAGTCTGTTTCGGGACCTGCCCAATATCGGACTGCCACAAATATTGCAACTTATGGAGCGTATTGAGGTCATTCTCAGAATGCCTAAGTTTGATGTGGAATACAGGGAGGATATGGTGGGACCTTTGCAAAATGTAAGTTTAATAAGGAAATTATAGTTTTCGTCACTGTCGATATTCATACAATTCAATTCTTAATCAAAAGAGAAAGATATTGTTTAGTTGCATATCAGTCGATATTAAAATAACTTATTTTTTTATTCCTAAAAGCTTTATAATTATACACAGTTAGTTAAGAATTGTATTAAATAAGTTTAGGCTGTAGAAACGTACATACTACTAAAATTGTATCAAAAATGTTATCCTTGTTTACTTACCCACACTAATATACATAATATAGAATTTAATTACCTAGTCTAAATAAAAATTGATGTTTAAAATCGTTATTTCGAAAATATAAATTTTACGTGTACCAACGTGATAAAAATAGTATGGTTACTTAAAGATGGCCTGCCTGAATTATCGCTCTTTTGTGGGATGTTAGGTTTAATGACATGGTCATATTTCCCTAATCATTATTTGTCATACAACTGAGCCTTATGAAATATGATGAGTATGAAGTCCCTGAGTTGTAAGCAACCATAATTATGTATAATAATTATATTTAAACTGTTTTCAGATGCGTATTTCTACTCTATTCTCTCAATACGCTAACCTCTCAGGTATCTTTGGTATATATGAATCTGCCAATGTAAACAGTATGTTCCACTCGGTCCACATGAAAGTTGATGAAGCAGGTACAGTTGCAGCTGCAGCCAGTACTAGTGCAGTTGTGCCTTTGAGTAATGACCAGGTGCGATTGGACATTAACCAACCCTTCTTATTCTTTATAAGGGATAACAAGTTCGAAGTAATACTATTTGAAGGCAAGATTGAAGAACCTACAGAGTTTGGTGAGGCTAGTTCTGCTGAAGGTAAATACATTGTTTTACTTATCAGTGCCGCTTCTTAGATCATTTTTTTTGCTATTTCTTGAAATGAATCCAGTAAAAAAGGGTAGGGAGCAGACGATAGTCCCGGTGGTTTTGGGGTGATCTTATACTAACGTCATAAGTTGAAAAGTTATAAAATAGCTAATGAAATTTAATTTTTAATAAGTGAGCAAATATAGATCTCGCAACAAAGGCGTGACAAAAGCGATGTCACTAAAATGATTTAATCTTTGAAATAAATGTAACGTATGTACGTTGTATTCTCTATGAAAGGTACCATTAAAGAGCATTTATATAAAACTTCAACATCATATAATTTTATTTTATATTTTAGGTCAATATCCTCAACTAGTAAACCAACCATTCGCAAGTCACATATCGCAAAACCAAGCATTAGGTCAAACAAACGTCCATCCAGCGGCTCAAAATTATCCTACACCAAATCAAGCAGTTCCAGGCACGACTAATTATAACCAGGCTGTTCCACAGGCTGCTCCAACTCAATCTAGCTTTTATCAAGAAATTTTAAATCAGCAAGCGTATCAAAAAAAACTTCAAGTTCAAAATAATGATCAACGTCAGTCTACTCAACTAAATCTAAACACAGCCTCACCACCAACTCTACGTGGAATAACAACAAGAGATCCATTCAAAGTTAAAAGTTATGTCTGTCTCTTCTGTCTTTAATTTTACCGAAACTTTAAATGTAATCATTTTTTTGTTTTTATATTTTGACCAGATTCCAATGTGATAATGGTACCTATGCATGCCTCGCATGCGCCTGATTAAAGTGTTTTATGAGAAAAGTGGCATTGAATGTTAGTATTTAGAATAGTCCCCAATTCAGTCGTGAGCCTGAACATTAAGTTAATAAGAGGATAAATATATTGTAATACGAGTGAAAAAGGTTTTGCCTTATACTTATTCTTACAATATCTTTCAATTTAATATCGCGCGTTAATCCCAAGACTATACTACACTACACTATTATAAATTAGCAAATTATGCAACTATTTAAAGACATTTACTGATATAAATAAATTGATATTTACTTTTCATCCAACTCTTTTTTAAGTAAAGCTGACTGATACACCTAACTAACCGATTTAATTTTATGTTTAAGATTAAAATTTATATATTAATTGTTTAAACTTTATTGTCAGTTTCTTAAAATTATACTGCTTGAAGAAAGAGTCAATCAAAAATTAAAAATCGAAGGAATATGTACGTTACACACTAAGAAACTAGATGTAGTTAAATATAATTTCTTGAAATATATGTACAAGATTTTTTTGTCAATTTTGCTAATGGAATGTTTGATATTTATTTCTTCGAGACACAGATTTTAGTAACGAAAATACATAGTCCGCCTATCCCACTCACAATTCAAGAAACTTTGATATCAACTTATGACATTTGATATTAACGTATCAACAATATGTGGTAACTTTTGTAATTAATTAATATCTTTGACACTTAATGTTATAAATTATATCTATAATTAAATAAATTGTTTAAGAGGTAACTATACATTTTAAGTATATTTAATTGAACATATACTAACTAAAAAATACTTAACAACAAGTACATTAAAAACAGTGCTCCTAATTATTACTTGTAGTCTTTTTAATAAAAAATGTAGTTTAATTATAATAAATTCTATTAACATTACAATTTCTGAACTTTAATTTAAATAAAGATACTTATTTGCTGTAGTGAATACACACTAAATAAACAAACATATTATTTGTTATAATGAGCATTCTTTGACGCAATGCCTTGCTTCAGACCTTGAAAAATGGTACTTTGGTAATATCAGCAGAAGTATTCAATAAAATATTTTTGTGTACCAAAACAATATTTCGTTCCGGTATTCTATAATATCCTATCCAGTATCCTGTGAAACCTTTAGTTTGATATTGGAAATTTATTATCATATACACATTTCCCTGTAATTTTCTCAATTTAATTTGTTATCAGCGCAATGTCTACACTACCAAATGCTTTGGATGGTTCCTTCTGTGGTCTTATATCCGTTCCTTCTGTCCCTTCTCTTGCCTTCTGTCCATTCTGGCCGTCTACGTGCTAACTTTCCTTGGAAGTGTAATCATTTTTAAACAGAACAAAGGAAGCAAATATAAATTGGTAAGGGAAATTTATAGTGCTGAGGGAGCTGTAAGGGATAGCCTAAATTTCGTAATGTAAATGAATCTGAGAATATAGAAGGGCAAAGGATCAGGCAGGTTACCTGATGGTGAGTGACTACCGCCGTCCATAGAGACCAGTCTTATACGAATCGACCAAAAACCGCACTCTGTCTCGGGTACCAGTAGCCGGGGAGTATCGGGAGTAGTGGGCTTCGTGAAAAGCTGTGAAAGAATTTCTTAACGGCGGTTTTCTCTGAGATCGTCGTATCACTGCGGTCGAGCCGTCCCATTTGTGCCGAAGCAATGCTCTCCCACGGGTATTACGTAGCTAGCTGCAAAATAAATTAAATAAGCCTTTATTCTGCTAAAAATCATCGATAAATACACAATTTATTTTCTTCATTCTGTGAATAATAAATCAAATCAAATCAAATCAAATCTTTATTTGCCAACCAAGTGTACATCAATGATCTTATAATATTATATGTAGTAGTCCCAACTCAGAAGCCTTTTCCAGGCATTGCAAAAATTTGAGAGAGAACGCTGAAGAATAAATTGTTACACAAGTACAAGCATTTTTTGAACAATACAAATTAAGTGACTCAATAGTACAGTATAACAATCGAATAAAGCATGCAAAAATACGAAGGCACCCGACATTCTACATCACTAATACATATACACATTTTCCTACTGTCCCTAGCATTTCCGAGCATCACGACCGATTTTCCTTTTTATGATTTGTACTTAGGTATATGCTTTCTGTTTTCCGTGTAATAAGAAATGTAGTTTGTTAAGTGTTTTTTTCCTCAATGTATTCTTTAACAGAATAGAAACATTTTGTAATTAAGAATGCTTTTAGTTTTTTAATGAATAGTGTAGTCTTCGTTTCATTTTTTATGTGGATAGGTAATTTGTTGTATATTTTTACAGCCATGTAGTAAGGGCTCTGGTGTAGCATTTTAATTCTTGATGGTGGTAGGTATAGTCTGTCTCTGTGGCGTGTGTTTAAATTGTGATTGTCTTTTACTCTCGCGAAGTGACTCATGTTCTTGGATACAAATATGCAGATGTCAAATATGTATAATGATGGTAGTGTGAGGATGTTATATTTAATGAAGAAGGGCCTACAACTATCACGATTTCCAATTTGTCCGATAATTCTAATACATTTCTTTTGTAATATAAATAAATCCTGAAAGTGTACACTGTTTCCCCACAACATAATGCCGTATCGTAACCAGGAGTATGCGTATGCGTAGTATGCTGACAGTGCGGTTTTTTCGTTTGTGCTGCATTTAAGTTGGAATAGAGCATATGTAAATCGAGACAGTTTATTTTTTGTATGTTCGATGTGTGCTTTCCAGTTGATGTGTGTGTCTATAGTTATACCAAGTAATTTGAATGTATCTACAGTTTCTAGTTGTGTGCCATTGTATGTTGTGTCGATGTTTACGGGGGTGTTTCTGTATGTTCTAAATTGGATAGTTTTTGTTTTGTTATAGTTAATTTCTAAGTTATGGTCGTTGAGCCAGTTATTTACTGTATCTAGAGTTTCCTGAAGTAGTGGTGTCGGCTTTGTGGTTTTGTCATAAGTAATTAGTATTGATATATCATCAGCAAATAGGACAGGTAATGTATGTTCCTTGTTTAGTACTTTTGGTAAGTCGTTGATGTATATCAGAAATAGCACACAACCCAACACGCTGCCCTGCGGGATTGAACACTTTATGTTCCTTTTTTCAGACCGGACTATTTTAACCTCATTCGTATTGGGGTCGAAATGGTCAATTTGGACCATTTGTGATCTATTTTCTAAATATGATCGAAACCATATGTAAGCTGGGCCGCGAATACCAGAACCGCTTAGTTTATTCAAAAGAATGTCGTACAATACTTTGTCATAGGCTTTCGTCATGTCAAGTAATACTCCGAGTACATGTTTTTTGTCATTTATATGTTTTATGGTAGTCTGGATATACTTATATACTGCTTGTGTAGTTGATCTTGATTTTCTAAATCCATTTTGACTATCATCGAGAATGTTATATTTTTCAAAAAAATCGTATAATCTGTTACACATTGTTTTTTCAAATACTTTCGAAAATGTGGGTAACAGAGCAATATGACTAGGTGTGTAGGTGTCGCCTTTTTTGTGTATCGGTTTGATTATTGATATCTTTAGGGGGTCTGGAAATTGGCCATCTTGAAGGCTTTGATTAACCAAAAATGTGAGCGGTATTGACAGTTTTTCTGCACACTGTTTCAATAGAATTGGGGGGATTTCATCTATGCCACAGCTGTGTGTATTTTTAATTGAGCGTATTATGTCGATTATTTCTTTTCTATCTACAGGACGCAAGTACATGGAGCACATTTGTGAGTTTATGACGGGTCGACCCAGCGCACTGTTTTTGTTGGTTTTATTGTTATTCGTGCCCATACCCACAGTAGCAAAATACTCACTGAAATTGTTGCAAATAGTTGTTGGACATGTTACAATGTGGTTGTTAATTTTTAATGATATATTTTGTGGAGGGAGTCTTTTTTTTTGTTTACCTGTTTTTTGATTTATGATATTCCACATTGTTTTTGTTTTATTATCGGAGTTTTCCATTTGTTTACAAAAATCAAGTTTTTTTTGATATGTTTACACTACGCTTTAGGGTTTGGCTATACTTTTTATAAAATTTATGTATAATATCATTATCATTCACATTCAGAAAGGCCCTTAATTTTCTTTTGTGTGCACATGATTTCCTAAGGCCGGTAGTGAGCCATTCTTTTTTTGGTTTATTATTTATTTTCAGCTTTTTTATCGGTATGTGTGTATTAAGTAATTTAGTCAATATATTGAGAAATAAATCGTAATTGGTGTTTAAATTGTTGTGTGTGTTGATTATTTCGTGCCATTTTATGTCATTTAATGAAGTGGTAAAATGTAATATGTTCCTTTGTCTTTTCTGTAAGTACCAGGTTGTGTTATTATTAGGATAAGAGTGTTTCGATTTTATTTTTAGTGTAATACCCTTATGATCAGAGAGACCATAATCTTGGACGCTGGCTTTATTAATAATGGGCATGTAGTTAGTGAAGAGTAGATCGATGCAGGTTGAGGAGCCTTTTGATACACGTGTTGGTTCTCTGATAATCTGTTTGAGATTGTTTGAAAACATTAAGTATATATCTAAGATCAATTTATTATATTTTTTATACTACCTATTAACATTTCTATAAATTATCAATAAGAAATTATATTTACACTTTTAATTTAAATTTATTAAAATAATGAATACATTTTCAGAATTGGAATTTCATAATTTATGTTGTTTAAATATAATTTATAACAATTTTTGCTTAAATTATTTATTCTCACTGCATATTTTATTATTGTGTTAAAAAACTATTACGTTCAAATATTTTTTAGGTAATAGTCCCCTCTTTGGTGTAGGCCTAAACACTCAATTGAATCAGTTAAATATATTTTAGTGATTTGCCAGTAATTTTAAATAACCTCAGTTTTTACTAACTTTTGTGAAT